AACCTGGGGCCAGTTGTGGATATGGGGAACGGGCAACGGCAATTCTGAGGGCAGAGGTTGGCAGAATCAGTTGCAAATTGGCAAAGGGCCATGGGTGCCATCGCACTTCTGACAGGAGTCGCGTAAGGCAAGGTGACAGGAGGGAAGTTTGTTGAAGGTTTCTGTAGTTTGATTCATAAGGGGCATTTGAGAGGCTTCATTTAGCAGGAACCGGTGTTGGGTGGAAACAAACGTGAACCAATGAGCTTGCAAGTTTAGGGTCGCCAATACAAGCAGAGATTGCATCTGCACTTTCTAGCTCCGCATAATGTATGACATGAAACCTCGGGCATCTTACTGCTCAGAAATCTGCTCGAACTTCCGGACTCAAAGCTCGCCAGGGCTGTCATTGCAGATGTGGCGCGTTGGTTCAATCTACTCAACCCCCGAATTGGGAACGCACCTCAATTTGACAAATCTGTACTGGTTCTGCCGAACTGGTCATCAAGATTTGTGTTTGTACAGGCGGCCGGATGTTTTCCTATGTCGAAGGGCGGAAAGCGAACCACCGGCAAGTGGTCGATGGGACCCAAACGCTCCAAGGGGGACTTGCCCATGTCGAGTCTCGAGGTGCTAGTGCACCTGCGCAACGCTCTGAAGCCAGGGCCCCAATGTGGATCGGTCAAAGACAAAAGCGACCAACTTACTCAACAAAAAGGCTCGTATTGGCAATAGTTTTTGCACACTGTAATTGTGGTTTGGTCATTTCTGGATTTGGGACGGCCGTTTTTGGAATCAGGGGAGCTCCGGGTGCCGGAAGTTGAGGTGTGTCTGTGGGCCTTGCGGAACCCTTTCAAGTTGGCCGGTAATTGCATGAGTTGTATGGTTCGGTGTTTGTTTTGACCGTGTGGTTGGCGTTTTTCGGTTTCTGTCAGGCTTCTGAAGCCGGGCTTGTTGCAGATGCCGGGGCTCGTGGACAGCATTGCAGCCTACCAGCCGTTGAGGTCAGGGTCGGGGCTATGGGTGACGAAAAACACGTCCGCTAAAGGCTTGCCTTGCTTTGTGTGAACTTGCAGTGCATGTTCCTGTGCGGATTCAAACGAAACCGATCTCCCAACGCAAGCGACTGGCTCAGACACCAGAAAGCACACCGGAAAGTCGCGGAAGTCCCCTGCTTTGACATGTCTCCAGAAAAATATTCTCAACCCTTTTTGAACAGTGAGCACACAGTTCAAGCCGGTTTCACAACGATTCCCTACCAACGTGACACCCGCTGGCCAAACTGTCAACTTTCCCGTTGCAGGGACCTTGATTCCCCGCCAGACAACACATGGGCATCGCCCAGACCCATTGTTGAACATGTGAGGAGGGTGACGGGCGCTTCTCGCATGATGGAGAACCACTTGCTGCCAAATTATATTTACACCAGGTCAAGGGCCACACTGCTTGAAGCGAGAACCAACTTGCTAAATCTTGCTAGATCATGAACCTGTCTGTGGGAAGCATATGCACTTTGCCGCAGGGACATCGTCAAGTCAGCGCGAACCAACGATTTGCTGCTTACAGAAGTGCGGGGGGCCGAGGTTTAGGTGCACAGCGTGCAAACATCGGCGGCCAAACGTCAAATGACCAGATGGTTCCCTTGAAAGGGAAGCCAAATGGAGGGACGAGATGCCAGGGAGGCGTTTTCAGATTGCTTGTCCTTTACATCCGGTCCCTTCTTTTCCAAGGTGCGGCTACTTGCTGAGCCAGCACCACCAGGCAGCTCCATTCCCACCGGAGCAGGCCGGGCAAGACGATTTTTGCAGCCAAATGGGAGGAAGCCGTTCCTTCATGGGCGGTCAAGCAATTCCATGATTCCATGAGCTCTTCATAGACTTTGCAAGGATTGGATGTTTAAACTTTGGAAGAGGACTACGACAGCCAGCCATTGCTGACTGTACCTCGCCAATTGGATTGTGCCACGCACAGGCATCGGAGTTATCACAGCTCACAGATGATTTGCTCAATGTCAAAGTGGCATGTGAAACCCGAATTGGATAGAGTGGTAAGTGTGTCCACAACAATCCTTGCCAAATACATAATTTACAAATATGTATGACATCACGTACATTCTATTTGTGTCACGCAGGTGCGGATTCTCGACCAACTGTCTTCCACGAAGCGATCTTGGACATTGGAAGAGATTGAAGACAAGGCATGGCGCCCAGACGAACAGTATTGTGCTGACCCGCTCGGAGCACCCGAGGCTTGCTTTCACCAGGCAATGCGAGGGGTCAAGAGGGAGCTGGGGCCGCTCTGGCCAGGGGCTAAAAGCCGATGTCTTTGACATTTCAATGATCTACAGCAGAGACGCACAGCGAGTGTTCCCTTCGCCCCAGCTTCTCGACCTAGTGTCATGGCGCTCAGGCTTGAGGCGTTGCTTTTACAGAGTAAAAGCTGGCAATGGACAGGAGGGAGGCGGGCAATGTCACATGCATCAAGATCAAACATGCCAATTCTGCGAGCATGTGGCTAGGAACTGGATCAAGTGACATGCCAATCCTGCGAGCATGCGGCCAGGAACTGGGTTCGGAAGCCTAGCAACGACCCGGCCGTGGCACTGGCTGAGGAGCTGTGCAATGCCGCAGCCTCAGGACTGAAGGTAGGTGATACTCAAGTTTTAGGTTGATGTGGCTGTGGATCAAACCAATGGGATCCCATTGTGGGGTAGGTGCACCACCCATGTTAGTCTATTTTAGTGGGGATTGGGATGTTCTCTGGGGGTACGGGATGTTGACCCATGGCCATGTTGCTTGGCGCGGTGTCAAGCCATTGCTGAGTATGCCAAGCTTACCAACTATTCAAGGTGCCGATGCAGAATCGCGGCCTCATACCTACGAGGCTGCCATGGGCTAAGATTCGAGCTATGGCAGGGACGTTTGCTTTCATGCTGTGTGCTCCAAGGCCTAAGATAGCCCTGCTGATGCGCGTGGTAGGCGCTTCTGAGGCCGGGTTGAAATGTGGTATGGTTAAATTGTGGTGTCCCCCTCGTCCTCTCCTCAGGCCTCTTCGATTCTCTTCGGTGGGTCGTTTGTCCTCGTCCCGGTTAGTGTTGGTTTAGTAATGATTCGGTACTGCCTAGGGCTGGTTGTGTATTGGTTTTGTATCGGTGTTGTATTTGTATTCTATTGGTCTAGTATTGAAGTAGTTGCTCAGTAATGTCAATACTTCTTTGCTCAAGCCTTTGGGGAAGGTTAACTCGACCCAGCTTGTGTGCAGTCGACTCGGAAGCATATATGTCCCCTGCGATGTTGCTTTTAAAGCAATTGTCTAGAAGTCGTATGTTGTTGAGCAATGTCCTCATGTCGTGTTGTGCCTATGCAATTTGTGATTGCCATTCCTTTTGAGGAAGAAACGTACGTGTTTGACATTCCCATCAGTTTTAGGAAGGGGTGGACGCTTTGTCATGTGCCCAGTAAAATGTTAAGCCTTGGTTTCAAGCGGCTGCACACACAGGCCATGCTAATCTTCTGTACTGAGCAGAGAACGGGCCCTATTCCATACTCAAGAACTCCTCCCTTTTTTCCAGGGAGTGCTGGGAAAGAGCCTCTGCCTCAGCTCAAGCCGCTGGCCACATGCCCTCGGACATCCTCTCATAGTTCTCCATGGCGATGTGGCCTTGACAAAACTGGCACGGGGTGCAGGGCCTCATGCAGGTTCTCGCCTCTGGGCAATCCTGCCTTCCACGCACATGCCCGTTGAGTCCGCACCATGACCTCGCTCCCCTCCACCTTTGCACATCCCCCTCGTCGCATTCTGGAGCCCATAGCCGTTGCGACACCAGTGGATCTTGTCCCCCAATGCTGGTGAGATGATACACCTCCCGGGCCTCCTGCTTGGGTCTTGGTGCAGCACCTGCTCCCTGACCTGAATTCCCGCGATCAAGAAGCTCATCATCATCATCATCATCATCATCATTATTTTCTTCTTCTTCTTCTTCTTCTACCCGCTCAAATGGCAGCGACCTCAGCTTCTTTGCTGGCCTTTCCACCTCGCGAAGTTCTTCACGACCACGTCGTCTCCGCCCACCGTGGACATTCTTCTCCCTCTAGGCGCTCAGCACAGCTTCAGGCAGAGGAACTCCAAGGTTTCTGCCTGCCCAAGCGGCACACTATGGCCATCACCGCGATGCAAACCACTCTGACACTAGGATCTGGATCAACGGCGCCAAAGCCTGCACCCATTTTCGCGCGGCCAGCCGCGGGTCAACACCAGAGATGCCACCTGAGCCACAATCAAAACCCGGCTAGATGAAGGGTAGTAAGGCCCAGCCATGAATGGGTGCGGCCGCCTTGGTAATTCTTTACATTGGTTTGGGTGCACCATTTTAATACCAGGTTTAATTGTGACTCACCTTGCGATTGTGCTCGTCTTTCGTTGGCCCAGGGGCTTTGTGCCCAGGTCCGCCAACATGTCCTGTCCAATGCCTCATAGCCCATTCCGCTTCCAATGCCACCGCTGCCACGTTGCCCGACAGTAGCATCTTAGCGTATCCATTTGTGCCCAACGCGTCCGTAATTGGAGCCTCCACCGAGTCACCCAGAATGACCCCGTCGATCGCCCCGATGAGCTCACACACTGCCTTCCAGCTTTCCACGCCACCACCGTGCGTTCCAAACACACCACCGAGCAGCCCGGATTTCTCACCTCGGCAGGTGCGAATGACACATCCGAGAAAGCCTGTGGGACTGCTGGCCATTGGCCCGACCAGTGTCGGAGTCTTCGTGATCTTGATTCCCCAGACCTTCGTTTGTTTGAGGTACCCCAGCATTTTGCCCGATGCTCTCGCCACCCTTTTTGGGCTGCGCGCCGTCATACGCAATCTACTCATGCCGAAGAGAAGGTCAGGGCGCGTCCTTGTCATTAACCACAGCAGTTCTCCCGTGACTCTTTGCGCCTTCATCGCATCGTTGTGATCATAGTCGCCAGATCCTGACCTGCTTCGTCCGACATCTCCTTTGTCATTGGAGATTTTGCGCTGACAATATCCTCCTTGTTCCTCTCTCTAAGACCTCCTCCACATAGTCTTTCTGGCGCAAGAGGATGTTCTCCCCCCTCAGCTTGATGTCCACGCCCAGGAACCTGATTTGGTTCGCTGCCGTGAGCTGCGACAATGTGGCTTCTCACTTCCCCTTCCGGACCTTGGTCTCTGCCACCAGACATCCACGTCGAGACCAATCCCGTCGTTCACCTGAGGTCATCTCCATCCGCCATAGTCGCTGTTCCCCGACCACCTTCTGGGGCTTTGCCTCAGGCCATTGCGTTATCAGTCAAAGCTCGCCCATTTCGCGTAGCCCAACCTGACCATCACTGCCAGGGGCCTCAACGCCACCAGCTGCGTCGGTTCCTCCTCCTTATGCAGGCTTCAGCCCATCTCGACTCCTATTTTCAACTGTAGCGGATCGCAGTCGTATCCGTTAGTTCCCGCGCACCACCAGCCTCGTCTTCTTCCTGGCTGATCCAGCCTTCACAGTGAAAATGACCTTGCCCGGTACCACCACCAGGTTGTTGTCACCTTTCTCCTCCACCCACTTCGCCTTCTCCTTGATTACCTCATTCGGAGAGGTCATCTTAGTTTGAAGGACCTTCTCGGCATCGGCAAAGTCCGGCACCGTTTGCTTCAACCTCCGGACCTTCCTCAAGACTCTTCTTCCATGCTGATCTCCCTGTGCCGCAATCTCAGAGCCACCCAATCGCCACCATCATCCATTCCCCGAGGATCACTGGTCTTCATCCGAATCCTCCTCGCGATTCCGCGAAGAGCTCATCACCTTCGGGATTCTCCACCTCCGGTTCTTCGCCACCTGCGCGGTCATTTGTCTCTTGCCCTTCTCGCAGGCCTCCAACTACTTTTGAAATGCCTATCGCCTTCTTGCATGTGCACCATGGCCATTTGACGCATCGTCGGACCAGATGCCATGCCTTCCGGCGTGTACCTGCGAAGACCTTTTGATTCCAGGCCCTTTCCGGCACCAGTGCCTCACCAAACTTGACCTTGGGTCTTGCGCCATGCCGATCAAAGGCCAGCGTACCGCGCAACTCACGGCCACTCCGCCCATCCCGTTCCTGATCATCGACTTGACCACCGCTGCCACCATTTTCCTGGTCTTGATCAGGGGCTCGCATGCAGATCTCCCGCCTGCTCCGGGCCAGCTCCCTCGACACCAACTCGCCCTTGTCCGAGAGCAAATCGATGAGGCGCCCTTCTCGACGAAGCCGGATGTACACCTGACTTCAGCGGCATCAGAGGACCTGGTTGCTTGCCCCTTCATTCAGTTCCCATCGCAGGCGAGCAATCTCACGCATTTCCGGCGCCCATGTGACAAACCCCATCGAGGAAGAAAGCTTCTCATTTGACATCTGCCACCTCGGCTTTCCATAGTGCATCTCGAAAAGCTGGTTCAGGAACCGCGAGCTTCATCGTCCCAACCGCCGTGGGCGTCGCCGCCTTTTTCCCCACCCTGCTGCGCCAATTTCACGAGCGACCCTGCTGCGTTATTTCGCGAGCGTGGGCCTTGAGGACCTTCCACTCCTTTCTTTACCAGAACGACGGGCTCGGGTGGGTTTACGTTTCTGCTCCGGCAGCTCGATCGGGAAGCACGTTCTGCCCGGATGCAGTTCCATGGCCTTCAGGCACGTACGATCTCCAGCGCGTCCATCTCCCGCATTCCCCATCTTTCTTCCACCGTTAGAAGCCGGCCTTAGCTTCTCCCCGATTTTTCTTCAGTGGGAAAAACCTCAACACCGATCTCGAGCGGCAGTTGGGGCCTCCTTGAATTTCCCGTCCAGCGCCAGTCTCACCAATCCTCATCAAGCCATCTACCAAAAGATCATGGCCTCCGCTCCTGATGAGGTCATACTCCAGAATATCTCTTTCAAGCTCTCGAAATGCCCGTGAAGGATCATAATATCCTTCGAATCACCGCCCCTGGCTCATTGGTGTCAGCATCTCCAGCAACTGCTTCTGCATCTCCTGCAGGCCCTGGACGATACAAGGCCATCACCTGCTCCTCGTTCTTCTCGGCGTTCGCTTCTCTTTCTGGGTTGCAAACTTGTCGCGACGTCAACCGGCTGTGTTCTCGATGAAGCTCATCCAATCTCTTCAACTGGGCCAAGTACTTCACATCCTGGAGCGAATCCTTGGGCCTGTCCCGCACCTTCAGCGATGTTTTGGAGCCTGGTGCCCCTTTCCTGCAGCTTCCGGCTGTCGTGCCTCGATCATGCCCTCCCTGGTCCTCTCCAGACAGTTCTCGCAGCCGTCTGCTCCTTCCGCTGACAAGAGGCGCCTCCGCCCACTCATCCAGCCTTCGCATCTGCGGTGTGAACAGCGCACCTCTCCGGGCCATTGGGCCGAGTGCCCTTGCCCTGGCCCGCCGTGTTCTTCCGGGCCCCGAGTCGCTCAGAGCGGATGCAAAGTGCGACCTTGGGCTCACGCATGTCGAAAGCCTTCTCGATTTGCACGTGTCATCCGCACTTCAAAGTTCACGCGGGCCATGCTATAACCTTCTGTACTGAACAGAGAAAGGGGCCCTATTCCATACTCAAGCAGCCTGAACCCCGCCGCCTAGTGGTGAGATACACAAGATAATGCCCAAACAGAGCCCACTAGCTGAAATCTCTCCATTGGATCTCGGATCTGAAGAAACATGTTCAGCTTCAGGAGCTCGCTTGCTTGCCGGGGCTGTATGCCATCACTGGCAACCACGATGGACGCCGGGCCCTTGAAGCGAGTTAAGCGGGTGATGTCGGGGCCATGCGCCCAGGTCCCGTGTACCAACGCTTCGTCCCGGCGCAAGAGCAGGCGGTGCGGATCTACTGGTGGCAGGAGGACTCCACGTGGTGGATCGGCCCAGAGGTTGGCGGCGACTTAGCCGGGGCCTCGACATTGGATTTGACATGAACAAGCTTCCGTGACCTTTTGCCACGTGCATCAGGTTTGGGCCTCGAACCGCAGCAGTGGGAGCGTTGCGCCACGCCGCAACTGGAATTGGGAGGCGGATCCCGGCGCGAGAGGCTTTGCGCTTGGCACCTGGCTGCAGGCAAATGCCCCGCTTGCACAGAACAGCGTCATCAAAGCCTTCCACGTGGAGGCACCTTTGGTTGAGGGTCCTTTTTTTTGTTGGATGTTTTATCCCGCTCGGTTGCTGTGCTTTTGCACTGCCACCCAGGCAGCATCATTTTCTTCAGATATTTGGGGAGAGGTTGAATCTGTAAAAGGACCTCTAAATCTCCACAAAAGCACTCTAGAAATCCTAAGAGACAGCTTTAAGCCCGCCTTGCGCTTGCCTTTGGCGTGCTTTGCACGCCAATCGCAGACACTGCCTGAAGTTTTGTTGGCTTCTGTGAACAAACTACGTGACTACCGAAAGCTAGAAGCGACACCGCAGCCTGCTGCAAAGAAAGTAACCTGTTCTCCAATACGTCGACGACACTATCCGACAAACTAGTCTAATCAAAGCGCGATATGGGCATGACATGACCAAAACACGGAGAAAGAAAGAGCTTTCGCACGATGCTTACCACAGCCCGTTTCCTCGACATGGAGGTGGTGCTTGCGCAACAGGTCGATAAGGCTCCGGAAATTTGTCAGGTTTCTACGGAGCTTTTTGAGTTGTGGTGTAAAAGTGAAGCCAGTAAAGCCAGTTGGTTTCAGGCTTTGGGGAACCTACGCTCCTGGGTACCTCCAACCTGTGCTCTCGCCATGGACAGGCTTCGACTGAAGCTAAGCCTCCGCCCGTGGTTCGTCCTGCCCCAGAAAGGGAGGGAGCCAACGCGCGGACAAAGAAGATACTTCTGGTGAAGGACAGGTTGACCGGTTCGCGGCTGAGCGCCTCGCATTTGGGAACGCAACAATTTCTTTGTGCTGGCAGGACCCTCATGCCAGCGGCAAAGTGGCAAAGCAGGGATCCAAGCAGGCGGGCGTCACAGATTTGTCCCTCCGCATTCAAAACTTGTGCGAAAGAAGCTGCCGTGCGACCAACGCAGAGAAAGATGGCCACACTCAAATTACGCAGATCCCCCGTTTACCTCAGGTCGGGAGTCCGTGACAGAATTGGATCAGAATTGGTTTAGTAGTGGTTTAGCATTGCTTAGAGCCCTTAGTACTGGTTTAGTATTGGTTTGTATTGCGTGCTTAGTGTCGGTCCTCTTTGGTCCTCTTGCGTCCTCTTAGTATTGGTTTACTATTGAGTAGGCTGCCTTAAAGCTGGTTTCGAATTATTTAAAGTTGTATTTCCAGTGGCCACGCAGAGTGCATTGGATTTTCGCGGATTTCCGCGCGTCGGCCGCCGCGATCCACACAGAGGGAGCGGCTCGCGGGTTCACAGACAGATTGCACCGAGTTCACCAATGTATTTCTCAGGTGCAAGGTGAGTCTTCGGAACGTCTATCTAACCGGGCACAAGTCTGCGGCAAAATCTTCGTGACAAAAGCGCTGATGTCCGAGCGCTTTGATCAATCTCAACATCTCTGAGCAGTCTCTCCGTGATTCATGCCATTTGTCTGCGCAATCGTTCCATGACGTTCCTTTGAGCAATCGCTTTGCAGCATTTCTTTGTGCAAATTCTTTGCGCAGTCTCGAGATAGTAATGTCGCGTGGAATCTATCCTCCGAGTTCTTGGTGGCATGCCTTTGTATGTGTGACATCTCGGGCAGTCCTCTTCCAACATCTTTGCAGAGTCTCTTTATGACGGCGACTTTTCTGCACGAAATATTGCTCCGGGGACTACTGGGTTCCTTGAACATGCGTCCGCAGCTTTAAGAAAATCTCATTGTTTGGCTGATGCAATGCGAGCACCTTGGTCCAGGAGCAAGATCTCCACACCGCTGGAGCTGGGCACGTCTCTGGAGAGAAGGCGGGCTTAAATGCGAGCTGCTACCCTATGACCCTATGACTCCTATAATATGTTAGACAATTTCTTGATGGCTTCGATGTTGACTGTATTCAAAACACCGACCGTGTACGGCGGCCAGAAGCTGGATGGCCATCAATCTCTAACTGTTGACCGACTTGCGAGGAAGATGTGGCTTTTGCGTTGTCAGTGTAAGTAGAGGCCGTGGGTGATGCAACTTCTCGCGAAGCTTTGCAGTTCATATTATGTGGGATGATGTAACTCAAACCGTGCCCTTGAAATTTCTTTGGCAAGCAGGGTCAGTTTGTTGCCCATGTTTGAACATCCTGTGAATTGGTTCGGCCTTCTGTGCATCTCTGTAGGCGCAGTCTCCAAAGCGACAGCGTGTGGCCGAGGCGGGTTGCGGCTGTTTCATACAGAATCATCATGAAAGTAAGCATTTGAGCACATGGATGATCATGCTACCCTCGTCCAAATGCGGCCACTCCCCCCGGCTTTCCAGGCCACAAAATCCTTCCAACTGCAATTTCCGGGTAGAGAACTCACTTCACCAGTCCTCGAGCAAGTTCGTTGGCCTTGCCAAGGCCTCCGACCCAAAGAGAGCAAAGCACTTGAAGGACAATGCCTGGGATAGTCCGTGGGATGGGCCTGGGCTGTGAAGAAAGACTCCCCCAAAACGACTCCCGAAGCTACCCGCCCAAGCCAAGCACAAAACAAACACAAAACAGATACGACAAAATAGCTTTGAATATCTGACACACAACACAAAGACCAACAAAGGGTACCTTGTTTCCCTATGGCAAAACCACGAAGGGAAGTTTTTGAGGACGGTGCGGAGCAGCTGAAGAACTGGCTCGCCTCCTTCGATGGCCGGATGGGCATGTTGCGGGCCGAATCGACATGTTGAATCCAGTCACTTCCAGTTGGGTGAAAAGCAGAGGCCTCTGTCCGCCAACATGGAACCCACCAGAAGGTCCCTTTTGGAGGAAAATGGTCTTCCAGGACCCCGCAGAAGGTGGCATGTTTGTGGATCAGGATGGTGTTTGGGATGCAAAAGGTCTCGTTGCAGCAACCGGCCGCAGGCTCAGGATCTTTCCTGAACATGTATCTGAAAGCGCTCAGCTCGAACTTCGATGATCTTTGTCAGGCCCAGATCCGTGACATTCAGTAGGCATGTCAGGCAAGCCAAAGGACACGAGCAACTTTAGGGTTCCAACTAAATAGCACCGGGCACGTTCTCCATGCTCCAACCACCTACAGCACGTGATTGAGCCCTTCGGTGCTGGTCGCTTTGTTGCTTTGTCGAGGTCCGTGCTGCTTTCAACAACATTCCGAACGCGCCCCCGCTGAAGCGAATAGATCCTGCTTTCTTTACCGTCATTGGAGTGGAGAAGACTGGTCATAAGCTTACATTTGCCAAGAAGATTGCAGAACTGCAAGCTTCTTGAGCTGTGAGATGTGCAAGCGCCTCCCCAGATCACAAATTTAATTTTAAAAGAAATATAAAAATATTACAGTATTAAATATAATAATATAATTAATAATATTGAAATATTTCTTATAAAAAATATATATGTTAAAATATAAATTAATAATTAATATATATTGATAGAGGCGATTTTGTATATATATATATATATATGGGTTTGTGTTTTTTCCCCGTGTTAGTTCTTTAGTCTTTGTGGGAGATGGGGCTTGGGCGAGTTATACTCCCGAATTATACCCCGAATTATACTCCCGAGTTATATTCCGAATTATATCTTTTAAAAAAATACAAAAAAAAGAATTTGTAAGAATTGTGGTATTTGTATGTGATTTATGGATAGTTGGAAGTTATAGGGGGTTTAACTTTAAGTGAAGAAGGTGGTTTTGTTAAGAAATAGTGTTAGAGAGCTTGAACTCTGGTTTATTTGTGGTTTTTGGATTAATTTTTGAGTTTGCGATGCTTGTATGGTTGGGCTTTGATATTATGGGGCTAAGTATGGTGGACATATCTACTTATATTTATTGGTGAATTGTGGGGGGAGTATTTTGATTGAAGTGATGTTTTTTGACATTCGGTTATTCACTTTGGTTTCGGCTTTTGGATGGAGTTATAGAGCAATCTTATGGATGTTTTGGTATTAGAGTTGTTTGTAGTATTCGTGGTGTTGTGATAGGGGGGTGTAATTTGACGTAAGACGTTGGGACTTGTAGGGCGCTGTGGCGGGGGGTGTTGCTGCTGAGCTTGAAATTTGGAGCTTGCTTCTTGCAGTCTGTCCGACGCGGTGGAAACAGCTGTCTGTCTTGGGCCACTATCGCAATGAAACACAAGCTGTCTTTGTGCTCCTGCGGTACTCTTGGTGTCTTTCCGGTCGAAAAAAATCTGTCCCCCGATTCATACCCCCGATTCATACCCGATTCATACCCCGATTCATACCCTTCTGTTGCCATTTGCAGCCAAGAGCCTCTTGCGCTCTGGGCAGTACTAGCGAAGCTATGTCGCCCAAGACACAAAACTCAAAGAGAAGTGCTGCAGGAATCAGCTCGCGGCTCTTTTCGCAGAAGTTCGCTAGAAGTTGGGTTCGGCAGGCTTACTGCGATATATCAAGCGCGACACGGCACACCACCTGTGAGAGGCCCATTAGCCTCTGCGCGGCTGCCGTTTGAGGATGTCACGCTGTTTTGCCCTCACGCTGGTTCGCGACTGGTACGGGTGGTGGGCCTGACTGGGCAGCGGCGCTTCCCCTTTCGCAACGCTTTCTTGGGTCTGTGAGCACGCGGGTCGCTTGCGGAGGTGGTCATGACGTTCGCCTCAGGCAGTGGCTCTGCGCCTTCCCTAGCGTAGCAGCTTTCGCTAACCCACTCACGCAGAGTGGCAGCTGTCTAGTTCAGGCCACTCACAAGCGCCCCAGGCTGGCTTGTAGCAACTAAGCGGTCCAAATTCTCACGGCTATCCAGTTGCCAGCGCACGGGAGCTTTGCAGTGTCCAAAGCCACAAAGCAAGAGTTGAGAGGCGCGCGAGCCATACCCCGAATCATACCCCCGAGCCATACCCCGAACCATACTTGCGATTCATACCCCTTATACCAACCTCCCGGCACGGCCACGTTAAAAAAACACATACCCATATATATATATATATATATATATATTTGGGTGGATTTAAATGGGTTTAAAAATTTAGATAATTTTCCGGATATATTTTGGAGATTTTTTTGGATAATTTTAAGAATATAAAATTATGTTTTATAGATGTATATTTTTCAATAAATTATATATATTTATATTTTTGTATAAGTTTGAGGATTTAAAAATTTGGGTTTGTTGTTTAGCTTATGAATTTAGTGGATAGATTTCGAATATGTTTAAGTTATTTGGAATTATTCGAAAATTATTTGGAAATTTGTTGGAAATTATTCGGAATTTATTTAAAGAATTATTTGGAAAGAAATATTTTTATGGAAGGGGGAATAATATATATCTTAAACAAATATAGGAATATGTTTTTAATAATTCTTTAGATTTGATGAATATTTATTTGTTTAATTATTTATTTCGCATTTTGTTTATTTTGGAAATTATTTTTTGGTTTATTGGTGGTGATTTGATTTTTTGATATTTTTTAATATATTTTTGAATTTGAAAAAAATAAAATGCTATTTATTGATGTTTTCCTATTTTTTATTATATAAATATATATATTGAAGACATTTATTATAATAATTAGAATGAATTAATATATTTAAAAAATAATTTAATTAAATATTTAATAAACTTATATATTATATTATAATATGATGATAATTACTAATTTTAGCATCTATGCTAAATGCTTACTTATAATAAACGACCAAATAATAAATAAATAATCCGTTCGCTAAATAAAAATTGGGTAAAAGAACGATCTATATAGCAAATTTAAAATGTATGGCTACTAGCTGAAGACCTGTGATATTCGTGTATCCAGAGCAAATTAGAAGCGCACCGCCATATTCAATATTATAATATATATATATATATATTAATTATTTCAATATTATATATATATCATAAATATACCCATTAATAAAGCATTCGTTATAATCACATACCATGTGACAAAATAGAATAATTCATGCTAACTAAATACTTTACACACTTGTATAATTAATTAATGATAAATATGCCGGTATTACATAATGGACGAATTAAATATATACTCATATATATATGCCACAATTATACACTATGTCATCAAGTGATAACCACATCCGAAAACAAAATTCTTACCTCAATCATAAACCATATAAATAGAATACTACTTATATTCACATCGCGTAGCAAATGACAAAGTTAAATATTTGCCGCATTTACGTATTATGTTACAAACGATATGCTTACGCCCCAACTAAACACCCATTAGAATCATTTATTATGCAAAAAAAGGCATTAATACCGGCCAATTGAGCGCTAATTAGAGCCGAATACAACAAAACAAATAAATAAATATATTTGTCAACTATCCACCGACCATACTTATAAAACCATATAGCAAATTACAAATATTTAGGCTAATTGAACAACCGCCATACCAATACATTGAATAACAAATGAGCAACGTATACCAGCGACAAACACAATAACAAGTGCTATCAGGAAAATCTTGCCAGCGTAGATAAACGAAACCGGTAAAAAAGGCCCGGAACCATTAAAGAAATTGTTAGGTAAGGGCCCGGAATTGTTAGATAGGGGCCCGGAATTGTAAGTAAGGGTCCGGAATCGTCGGAATCCCGAAATATGATTCGAGTCCCGAAGCCGAAAAATGTGTTTCGAATTCCGAATCGTAAATCCCGAATTCCGAATTCAAAAAATCTCATATGCTAAAAACGCGATTTGTGTCTTGAATCCCGATATAATTCGGATCTAGTTATTATTTAATTGCTATATATCCTGAATATAATTCTATGAGCAATATAATTCTATGAATAAAGAAATAAAGACAAACCAAAAAAAAACCCAGGGCTTCCAATATTTTTAATATCAAGAATTAATTTGGTTTCTATTATAGCAGGGTCATAGAATTTGGTTCCAAGAATCGTTAGCGTCCCGAAATTAGTGATTATTCGTTGCCAATTACGTATTTTGAAATCTATATTGTTGATTAAGATTTATCTTGCAAGCTAAATCCTAATATTTATGGTCGATGCTTGATGATGTATTTTAACCCTCGAAATTATCTATATATATATAATATATATTTATGTGGTTATATATTATATTTCTCTCTTTTTAAGATTTATTAGTTTATTTCGATTTATGAACCATTATTAGGTTTTTCTAATATATATATATATTATAAGATATATATATATATATATTAATAATTAAAATAATCATATTAGTATATATATATATATGTTAAAAAATATATAAATTGAATTTTAATAAACAAAATTCATATTTAATAATAAAAAATAATCTTAATATTATAATTCATTTAATATTGAAAACAATATAAATATATTATAAATTATATAATTATATTTAAACATATTATAATAATCTAATTTAAAATATATATATATTATTTATCTAAAATATATTAATTTATATTTATATATAAATGTTTAAATTAAAAACAAATATATATTAAATATTATTAAAACAAACAAATAAATAATATATATTTATATAGATATTATATATATATTATATTATATAAATATTTTAGCTATAACCATTGTCTATTATATTAGCAATACAACAAACTGTCTCTCTCTCTTTCCTATTTCCATCATAAAAATACGGGTAATCTCCCATATTCCCCTATAAAATATATAAAATATCTATTTTACAAATCTCCCATCCCCCTCATTGCCATATAACATAGACAAAAATAGAGGCGTGAACGCTATGGGAGCTGTGTTTTTAGAGGCAAAATGCCTCATCTATATAGTTTCAACAATATATTATTTGATTCTTCAAATTATATAAGTATTGGGATTAAAAAAGAAATAGATTCTATAAATCACTATATTGAATTATAATCAATTAATAGAAATGAATAAATAATATTTAAATATATCTTAAGATCTCGATATTAAAGAAAAAACAGATTTATATAATAGAATATGTTAATGTCATTAATAATATTTTGAAAATGTTCAATGTCCACCATCATAATATTGGCCAAATAAGCCCCATGCTCAGTAGTATATCCAAAAATTTAATAATAAAAAGACTTGAATCATGCACGAAAAGGGCGCTTTAGCCTCCGCATTCGTATAACACCGAAAATCGCTTACGAGTACTATAGACAAACTTAGGCAAGTAGTCAAAATCCTTATTCTCATCAATGTATTTGTTATAAATGCGGCAAAAATACATAACCTTGTAAGTGTGGAAAATTCAGGGTTCGGGTATATTAATAAAACCTATTCCGCAAACGAGGAATTAATATCCCAGAAAAACACAAATCGACGAACATGGAAGAGGTTATATATACAAATCTTATTATGTTTCTAAATGTGTTATTTATCCATTGCCTAGCATTTAACCTGCTCAATTTTCTTCTCCTTCTTTATGATTAGCATGAATGCATAGCAACGATCAAGAACAAAATCATCGACAATCTTAAAGATAGTGTATCACGATTTCGTTACTCTCCATTTAAGAAAATTATGTATAATCGTAAAACAAATATTCTTATCCCTCTTATATGATTTACTAACATATTTCCCTATAGATATATTACCGCCAAAACGCTTAGGTAAAAAGACATGTTTATATAACAATATTAAATATATTTTTAATATACTATCAAATAATAACTCTTCGATAACGATGGTCTAATAAAAATCCTAATTATTCAATTCGAATAATATTATACAATAAAGGATTATATCTATATAGGCCTGCCTAAAACGCACATATGCGGTTTCGAAAATCTCTTTATAACAATATTAGGCCGTTCGACTAGGCCTTGCAAAGCAAAACTCCAAAGTGGAGTAATATTTCAGGTATTCAAGCGTAAAGTAGATCTTGTTATTATTAAGAAAAATGTCGTCTATATATCGTCCTTGTGTATAATATTCATCTTCTAGTAATCCATGATATAGAAATTTGGTCTATATGCCCGACGACAACTCTCGTTTTCTCCAAACAAAAATATATTCGGGATTGTTTAGGCCATAAACAAAGGCATCGATTTCATAAAACATAAAGAAAGCATCGTTCCTATATAAACATTTCTTAATCTATAATATATAGATTTATTTCGATTATAAACCGATAACACCCATGTAATTCGTATAAACAAAACAAAACTCAGCCTAATCGCTAAATAAAAGAATATAAAGAACGAATCAGAGAGGTACGCCATAGCCAAAATAATTAACAAAATAACGATCGAAATATCATTCTTTTATATAAAACATCCTTTCTAGACCTTTGGAGCAAAAAAATATTATTCAGAGTCATCATAAACAATATGTTTTCGGAAATACATTCCCAAAACATCAGTCATAACATACCATCACCAAGACAAAATACAATTCCACACAAAGAAACGACTAAACACACCTCCTGAAATTAACTCTTAAAACCTCCACCGATTGAATAATCATCCGGAATATCTTCCATTGTAGGCATAACATCACCGTATGCTTCGACACGACATTATCCATGTTCAAAGGGGGCGTAAGGTTCGAGATCTCGAGTCAAGAAGCAGCTAAGTTATAAACGAAGAAAATATATCATGGATTCTTATTTAATAAAAATATATTCAAAACTAATAGATAAATTAGCGCCTTTTTGAAGAAATGCATCCATCATCAGAATATTCGATCTAAAAAAGCGGTGTTTTTGGTTTAATTGTTTTTTTGAATTTTAAAATAAACATTCATTTCTTTTTTTAATTGTTTAGCCTAAACCAAATTACTCTAAATCCTTTAAATCACGCCGGAACCTCCGACGAACCTTACCCTGCCAAACCACCCTAGAACCTTCCTTATATTTTATGCCTGGCCTACACAGCCCATCTAGCCTACACAACCCATCCCATAATCACAAACACCTTCTTTAAACCTTACACCCCGGGAATTTCCTCCGAAACCCATCCCGCCAAAACCTCCGAAATATTCCTTAAACCTTACACCTAACCTACACCAGACCCACCCACCCCACCCACCCACCCAAACACACAAGCACTCGCGCACACGCGCACACGCGCACACTCACACACCCACACGCGCACACACGTTCATACATGCACCTCAGAACACGTCTTTCTTTTCTTGCACACTCACACACCCACACGCGCACACACGTTCATACATGCACCTCAGAACACGTCTTTCTTTTCTTGGAACTTGATGGGATAGTCTTCAATCCTACAAGGGTTACGACTGCCATTTTGGTTCTTGACCGTGTCTATAACAATATCGTAAATTTCCCTTATGGCTTCCTTTTTGGGCAGCTGCAGAATTGTTCCATATTGGTAGTTAGACATAGATGGCAAACCACATAAATTCGATGTTAACCATTTGCACAAAAGCATTTGTCCATAAAAGAGTCAACATAATTATAGCGAGTGGGGTGGGTGGGGTGGGTAGGTGGGGTGGGGGGGGTGGGTGGGGTGGGTGGGGTGGGTAGGTGGGTGGGGTTGGTGGGGTGGGTGGGTGGGGTTGGTGGGGTGGGTGGGTGGGGTGGGTGGGGTGGGAATTGGGGGGGTGGGGTAGGGCGGTGGGGGGGGGCGGAGCGGGGCGGGGCGGGGCGGGGAGGGGTGGGGTAGGATGGGGTAAAGTAGGGTGAGCGGGGTGGGCGAGGTAGGGTAGGGTAACGTAGGTGGGTAGAATGGGAAAGATAGGGTGGATAGGTGTCTACCTACACCAAATCACCCCCTCGTTTAATCCGCACCAAACTACCTAACACTACCAACTTCCGATTTTTTTTTAAATCTTACACCTTGCCTATATCACCTCGAAACCTTCAAAATCTTCCTTAAATCTTACACCTGGCCTACACCTCGCAATCTCCAAAATCCTTAAACCTAGTCCGCACCAAAATCTTATAAACCATTCCATAACCAATACCAAACCCCCCAAAATTCCCCCAAACCTTATCTAAAACCTTTAAAAACAATACCTCAAATAATATCCCAATAATACACAATATTTTTTTCAAAACCCGCACTATCCCATAATCCTTCTATAATCTTGTACAACCCTAATAAAACCTCCTAATAAAATAAAATCTCAATAAAGCCCCAATTAAATCCCTAATAACCCCCCCCAATACAATCCTAATCAAATTCCTTCAACATCATGCTTTTATAATTATTTCCTCGAATTTAATTTAACATTAAATATATAAATGTTATTCCTATAATAAAATTATATAACATCATAATATATTGTTCTATATATATAAATATATCCTTTCCTATAAACCTCAAATGATAAAATTGTAAAACATCCATAACATCCATATTTCCTTCCTATTCATTCCTAAAAAATCCCATACAAAACAAACATCAACCATAACCATATTTTACATATATATATATATAAACAAAATACAAAACTAAAATCATATATACATATTACTTCCAAAACCAAACTCCAAAATCGTTCCATCAATTTTATCAAATGTCCGTAAGGATTACATGTTTTAAATATTTTCTTCAGTTAAGTGCCGTACCACGGAAATTCAATTGTAAATTTTGATTACACTGAAACATATTCATTCAATGAACCTAGTATATGCTAGTAGTACCTTTCCGGAGCTTGGCACTGCAGATTCGCTGATCTAGCTCCTTTCAAAATCTCCGTGCATAAGCCTGGCATATCTTAAGGAAATACTGCTCCGGCAACGTGTTGTTGTTTTGGAACTATATTTGTTCAATTGTCTTTTTAAAGATCTATCATTGAGATGATCCTTTTTTAATCTCAAACAATGCCGGAATTCGACAATCAGCATGCGCAGGTCAGGTGATTTGCGTTTGCAAATCCATTGGACCTCAAACTCAGGTTCGCCGTTTGATTGCCAGTTCCATTTGAAGCTGCCCAATTTCAGCATGTGCCTCAGCGCGGCTGTCACATCTGTGAATTTGTTCGTGTTGCTGCGCATGACAAGACAGCGCCTCCTGCAACTGGCTTTCCAGCATTTCGACCTCAGCTTCCATAAGTACGTTCCTTGTCCAATATTAATAAATCGATGGATCACCTGGTCAGTACAAGCATCAGGTCAACTCGGTGATCAAGAATCGCAAATTTGCAGTCCTGCCAGTCCACTGGGAAGCTTCTGAGAACAAGGCCGTGGCTTCGGCTTTCCTCAGCGAGACTGCAGCTGTTTTTGTTTTGCATGGCGTTTGTGGCAAAAAAAACTGAAGCCACCTAAACAAACATATTGTCCATGTGCATGCAGAAACTTCAAAACCATCTGGAGCACTTCCTGTTGGCAATCAAGCGTATCCTAGCGCATCCCGCTTTTGGGCCAAGTGTCTTCAACTGAGCACAAACTTTGCCGCTGCTGCCCTCGAGTTCGGTGGCCCTGCTGGCCCAGCCTTGCAGTCAGGAGCTATCCAGCTACAGAGCACCAAGTGAACCAAAACAAGCGGCATGCGGAGGGGTTCGGCTCATGCACAGCTGTCACCAAAGGACAATCTAATGCATGCATGGGTGAGTCATCACACTCATTACACCGATGCATAAGCTTGATTGGCATGAGTCATCATGACACTGATGCTACATCATCAATGAGCTTGATTGGCCCACATGGAATAAGCTCAGGTGATATCCCCGACAACGCCCGTATGGGTTCTGCAGCTCGCTGAACCCTCGCGGAACCCTCCTCGGCGTGCATCTTCGGAACCCTTGCGCAACCCTCGTGGAACCCTCGCGGAACCCTTGCGGAACCTCCCCTCAGAGCCGCCTTCAGCTGTTGGGGAAAACGACAACACCGGCTGCATACACCGTGCATTTCTAGCCTTTGGAAGCTCTGCAAACACATGCTTATACGCGTAATAATTGCCAAAGACGGCAAGGCAAAAGCATCCTGAGCCGCCCACGTGCAGCTTCCTTCTGGCGTTCATCTTCATGCACTTGGGCCTAAAGAGCAAAGGGACTCATTGTAATAATTATTGCTGCGATTGACCTGCATCGAAGCTCCCTGATTGCCTGGACCTCCCAGCCAAATGGGTATGTGAATAGATCAAACCAATTCATTTTGATAATCCCTTTTGACTCCTTCACATGCAGCCAACGTGTCCTCACATCGGAAATTCTACGCGCATAATTGCCTTCGCCTCTGAGTGCCGAACCTCTGTCATCTGCATCTCCAGTCTCTCGACCTGCGGTCTGAGGGAGGAATGCTCCTCCTGCCCCCAACATTATCATGTGCAATGTTTCCCATTTAGTGGAAACTGTAATGTTTTTAGTGGTTTCCCCAATGGTCATCCCGTGTACAGGAGCTTTTGATCAACCCCCAAATGTTGCATCAGATTGAGGCCCCAGCATTTGCCTTGGCTTTCCTCAGCGTGAATGCTTCACCTGTGATCCTAGTCTGACAATGAAGGCTCCACATCGGCGAGCCAAGGCTCTGCAGCTCAGCGCGGGCTCCGTCCAACTCCCCCTCCAGTTCTGCAACTCTCGTGGTGCAGCCTTGACTCAACCCCGTCGACACGAGAAGCGTGGAAGAGGTAACACATCAAGATAGGAATGCCACCAACCGGACTCAGAAACTCTCTCAAGAGACCACCACCGCCTTGTGGGGGAAGAGGGTCCCCCCCAATATTTCATTTTCTGACCTCCCCCCCACTTCCATTTTGTCCCGGGCCGAGGGGGGGTTAATTGCGGGGGGGGGGGGAGGTTGAGGGATTGCCTCCCCCTAACCAAATTTCATGGGGCTACTGTGCGCCCCTTTCACACCCATAAAATGAAATTTAAGGAGGGGGAGGTTGTTCTACCTGAATGTGCATCTCTCCCGTCTGAAATGGAGCACCGGGCGCCTAAAAATGGAACACTGAGAGGGATGAGGTGGATTTTCCTTGACGGGATGCAGGAAATACACCTCCCCCCCAACTTCCACACCGTCTTTTAAATGGAAAGGAGGGGGGGGAGGTGTTTTATCTATAGAAAATGCTACAATCGGCAGTCTGCAAGAGCAATCGGAAAATGAGGGGAGGTAGCCCCCTGACACGAAATTGGAAGAAGCACCTCCCCCAGATTTCTTTCTCCAATTTCCACCAAAGCGGGATTCCACGCCGCACCCCCCCCATGCCAGAAAAAATGGAGACAAATTCCTACCTCCCCCCCCCCCCCTCATATTCCATTTTCGAGGTGGGGGTCTCAAGAGAAAGTGGTGATTTGGTCGCGGGATCAAGACATGGTTTGAGTATGTTTGAGTGGCTTTACTTTGTCATTTGTCTCAGCATTGCGTGCTGGCCTTTGCACCTTTTCCTTCCTATCTTAGACAGCCCCCTCACACCATCAAGGTGACAATCAAGAGGCGGATGGACTCTTGCTGACGCTCTCGATCCAAACGTCGGGCCTGGCAAACTGTATCTGCCAATGCGTGCATCCATGGCCAGAATTAACTTCCATTTGCTCGACAGTCTCCAGCCAACAACTTGCCAAGCAGATCCCACAACGCACACGTGAATCATGAGTCACAATCAAAACCCGGTATTAAATTGGTCTACCCAAAACTACACAAAGAACTTGAAAAAGGCGGGTGCGCAAATTTGTGGTTGGGACTATCCCCTTCATCTACCCGGGGTTTTGATCGTGGCTCATGCCAGGCCTCTTGCTGTTGCAGCCTCTTTTCCTCTTTTTCAACCTAAGGGCGATGCCATGCCCTGTGACCAATGCAAGCGCATGGGCACTTGACATTGACGAAATTACTACGGCTCATTGTCTGGGTATCGAGGGAACCACCCTCCCATGTCTTGCAGCACTGGCAATCTTGGGAACACTTTCCAAACGTTGGCAATGAGGAGGAGCTTGTTCAAAAAAAATAGTGGCCGTGTTTGGAAGCTGCTCCTTGTTCAAACAGCCCAGTGGCATCCCACTCCTCCTGCAGCTTCTGAATCTTAGCATGCAACTCCGCCTCCCTCACTTCTTTCGCAGCTAGAGCCAACCTGAGATGGCAACAAAAGCGTGTTGATTGGCAGCCTCTTTCATCTGAGCCATAGCACATCCCTGCTTCCTGATCAACGAGAAGCAATTTCGGAATTTGCCATGTTCAAGAAAGCTCAGGCGGTTTTCTTGTACACAAAAAACAATTACGCATGTTAAGTACTCACGCACCTACGTTGTGGTGAAGTGCCATCACAGCAGGTTCTGCCATGTACAGCCTCGGACGAGCTGCTCGAAGCGGTCGCATTCTTGCTTGGCATCTGCTGCGGAAATCTGAAGTGCTTGAATTTCCTCCGTGCTCGTCTTCAGCTTGCGCTGCAAGTCCAACAACTCTGCTTTCCTCTCCTCTGCCGCACTGCTCATGCTTTGCCTGGCCTCCTCCTCAGCAGCTTGTTGATGCCGCAGCTGCTGCAGCTCCTTTTGGAGAAAAAACAACAACGCTTAGGAACATTACCCCCATCAAATTTGGGCATCCTCCCAGACAGAAAACGACTCTGTATGTAGTTGCAAGTGTCTGCGGGACGATCAACATTCCCGTGTCCTGAAATGGCCATTTTCGCGAAAGAAAACAATATTACGCGAATCTTTCGTAGAATCGCAGTGCAGCATTAGCTTCCAGAGTCGACAAAGCACCCTTTCGCATTGCCGGATGGACAGCAGCAACTTTTCTGTAGAAAAAAAAGGACAACTCATGACAAGGTGCTGGCACAGCGCAAAGGGCAAACTTCAAAAACGTGCTTCTGCAGCTCCGGCTTTCATGTCGCAACTCGTGGGAAGACTGGTTCAAGCCTAGCAAACGGCATTTCAGGACTGGTCAGAAACGCTTGCTTGGGAACGCGCTAACGCGCCAAGCAGGGAATGAAATCTTGTCTTTCTTGCTGAGCAAACATCGAAGTGCAGGGTGCCAGAATTGGGCGATCCTGTCCGTTGATGCCGAGGCTGGTTGTATGTGCTGCATGTAATACACACCGACATAAGCCTTTGCGCCTTACGCATTGCTTTCCACCTGCGTAGAGCCAACGCAAGGCGCATTGGCTCATTCTCCGCATCTGTCAAGAGAAGCCGGGCCTGCGTCGCCAAGGCCAATCGGCTCTGCAGCCCCGCGATCTCCGTTTGCGCATCTTTGAAGCTGTCACTGGACCGGGCACGCTCCTCTCCCAGGGCTGCTTCCAGCAGATCTCTGCCTCAGTGCAGTGAGGTTGAAGCGCTGAACGTGGTCGTTGTCATGACGATTCTGAGCAAAAAAACGCAGAATATGTTACTCTTGTTCTTTTTTGTTCCGTTGGAAAAAAACAAATCGGGTTTACAAACGGCCAAACGGACTCCCAGCACAAAAAGCCAAGCTGCCTTCCCTCAGGTTGGCAATCTCTTTCGCCACAGCATCTTTGTCTAGCAGCAAACCCTTGATCTGCCCGGCAAGCTCTTCTCTTTCCCTCTCACGAAGCTCTTGCTGGGCTGCGAAGAGCCTCTCCTGTTCTTTCTGCTCTCGCTCCATGAGATCCTTCTGTGCCTGCAGTGCGCGCGCCGCCTCCGCCCGCTCTTGGCTCAGTTCCTCCGAGGCAGTTGTGCCCGCGGCAGTCAGGGCAGCTTCCGCGGCCCCCAACTGCTGCTTCAAGCGCTCAGCAAGGCATTGCCGCTCTTGAAGCGACGCCCGTTCTTTCCTGAGCGACCCAAGGATTCATGAAGAAGACATGAGAATTTCGGCATCTTTGACTGAGATCTTGCTTCAATCACATCAGCACCCGTGCGTAGGACCTCGTCCTGGAAACCAGAACTACTTAGCGACTCATGCTCAGCGCCCCGTGCCGCACCCCCTTGCCGCACCCCATCTACTCAAGCGCCTGACGCCTGAGATTTCCTTCGCCAAGCTGCTGGAGCTGCCTCTGTGCTTCCTCCAGCTCTTGCTGACGCCCCTCCTTCTCCGCGGCGGCCGTGTCGCGGTTCCCCAACTCCTGTGACCAGATCCCAACGAACGGCTCTGACCCCTTGGCTCCTCGGCACGGGAATGGTTTTGGGCACATCCATGTGTCCTTGTTGGTTGAATTGGCTAGAAAAATAGATGGGTTTCGATTCCTGGTTTTCCTGGTGGTTTAATCATCTACCAGGGAAACCCATCTATTTCCAACCTAAAAGGACACCTATGGGGTTGAGTCTCGGATCCTGGCGGATGGCCTCCACCAAGGAGCGCTCCGAGCACACCGCGCCTTGCAGCGCCTCGACCTCCTGGAGGTGCCTGCGGCGTCGCTTCAAAAACCACGCGACATGTTTCGGACTCTGACATACTGTGGATGGACGAAATCCATTTCGCACCACCTCAGAAGCCCTGGAATGTTGATTCCCCGGCAAATACCAACAAACAATGGTGGCTCACGGTTGCTTAGGTGCAGGATTCCGTCCCTCCACAGCAGGGGCCGTTTGTCCCACAACCGGTTGAAGTTAACTTGGGCACCGGATTTTGCGTCTGGCCATTCCAAGCCGGGATGCCTGGCTCGCTGCTCGGCGAGCTGGGACTGCAAAGCTTCAGCCTTCTGCCTCCAGGCAGCGAGGCCTTGCTCCGCCTGGGATGAAGTTTGCCGCGCAGAGGACGCCTCCTCCGCCTGCCGGCCCAGCTGGTCCCTCAAGAGCTGCACCTCCTGCTCCATCCGGCCTTGCCGCGACTCCGCCTCACCGAAACATGTTGCCACAGGGGTGTCGGCAGTGCGGAATTGCAGAAGGCTTGAAAGCCAAGCATCTGGAGTGTCTTCCGTACTTGCTTTGTGCTCGCAATTATAAAATAATTTTCAACACACCACAAAACCAACAATACCACTGCACGGACACAAACGTCGGAAACTGCGCTTCAACCAAGCAAAGCGAACACATGAAACACATTTCGCAAGCACAAGCCATCAGCCTTCAAAGCATCTGATTTCATACCACTACCAGGGGCAAAGTTTAAGATGCCAAACGCGCAAGTTGCCTGGATCAGCAGAAGCTGAAGCTGCCCGGCTTTCTGCTGGGCCTCCGTTCTCCGCTCAGCTTCTTCCTTTGCTTCAGCAAGGAGCCGCTCTTTGTCCCTGGACAGCACAGCAGCTGCAGCGCTCTCCGAGGCGAGGCTTCGCTTCAGCACCTCCAGACCCTGAAATCAAAACAGGCCATGTGACGTGAACAACACTTGCCTCTTGCGTGATCCAAAGATGCATAGATGATACAGCAATAGAGGGCAAGACCACGCACACTCACAATGCTTCTATGTATCTATTCTCTACTTGCTATTCCTTTGCCGAACTAGCAGCTCAACATGTCTGTGATTATGACCTTCGCTGGCAAACTTATCATCCACATTTTGTGTGTAGGAATCATTTGACGTGTCAATGAGTCAAAAGATAAATGTAGAACCTTGGGTTCTTGTGACAAAGTGAGAACCATCTTCAAATCGATGAGGAAACCCTGTTGCTCTCAACTGAGCGAGCAACACTGTCCCTTCAGGTCAAATGGAGAGCAGCCAGTCTGTTCCTTCCTATTGGCTGTACATTCCGAAGCCACTGGACCGCTTTCCCATGGTTTGAGATGTGATATGTGAAAGGTCAAGGGGAAATCACCGCAAGCCGGCTAGACATTTCCGTTTCATTACAAAACGCCAGTCATTGAGTCAAGGGCAGACAATAGAATAGTGTGCTGCGTTGATTCGGTGCAGTGGCTGGTTGAAGAGTACTGCAGTTATCTTGACGCGTTGCCTTACCAACCTACAGCGGAGCTTCAGGGCGGGTATCTGGCAGAACATGCTGTTGCCTTCAGACTTCCTGTCAAGTACATGTTAGTCTATCAGTGGCTGGGAGGAAATCCTTTGAAGCAATTTGTCACCAAAGACCCACAAGCCTATACAGCAGAAGCAAGCAAATATCCCGCTGGCCCTCAAGCAACTCCACGACAACTTTGAGTGTCCTCTTTCGAAATCCAATCAGATGGGAGGCAATCACTTCTCTGGCTGCAAATATGCTGTCCTTGGTCTGCTGCAAGTTTCGGCCCTGACAAACGTCCCCTCCTCCTTTTTAGAGCAAACATCTGACATGGTACCCATTAGCATTCAACAGTTACACTTTGTCATTATCCGAAGCAAAACACTGAAACATTATCTGCAAGTGCATTGAGCATTGCAATGCATTCCGCCGTTGGTCTGACATAGTCTAGCCCGAGTATCATTGCTTCACAGAAAGCATAGAATTTGCACAGCTTGGAACGCGTCTAGTGCACAAGGATTTGCAAAGACTGGATTGGTTTGGGCCAAGTTCACATAGGCTCTGACATAGATCAACCATACACACATTACACTCAAACACACAAGTTCAAAAACAACTCCTGTCCAGCCTTCGTGAAAGGATAAATGCTGAGAACGGCCCAGTTCCAAGCAACACCTTGACATGAGACACCAAACCAAATTCAACATGGCGAAATCCAGCGGTCCGGTGGCAACAGCTGGCGCAATGTCAAGCCCGATGCCAACTGGTGCCGCAAGGAAACCAAGAAGCCAAGCACTGCAATGATTGCAGTTGTTGGCTTCTGGGTTTCCTTGCGGCATCAGTTGGCTGGCAATGTGGTGTCACAACCCCAACTGTAAACACTGTCCGACAAACCGCTACCGGCCTTGCCAAGCTCCTCCAAAGACTTCTGGGCCGTACTCAGCTGCAGCGCCAAAGCTCCGCACTTGGACCGCTCCAAGCGCAGCAGCTGCTGCTGCTCCTGGCGGTCAGCACGAGATGCGTGATGTATGATGAGGCACCTGCATATTTATACATATGTGTGTGCATGTGCATACATACATACATACATTACAATACCATACAATACATTACATTACAATACACTACATTACATTACATTGCATTACATACATACATTACATTACACTACACTATACTGCATTACATTACATTACAATACACTACACTACATTACATTACAATACACTACATTATATTACATTACATTACATTACATTCATACATACATACATTACACACACATATACATATACACACACACGCGTGCTGTGCATACTATATACATCAATGTGTATATATATATACAACCACGCACCCCCCTCAAAACAACAACGCGCCTGCTTCTTCTGTAGGGAAGGTCAGGTCACTTTAGACACATTACCAAAAGTGGGCACATTTCTAAAATGTTGGCAGGCTTGCGCAAATGATTCATCATACTTTACCACCCATATAGATATGTGTTGCTTCTACTTTCTTGCAGGCTGTCTATGTCATTCCTCCCCCAGATTCTTTTTTCAATCATTTCATACATATGATGGTCATAAACAAAATCTATCTCAACACAAGTTACTTTGAACATAGCATCAGAAGCAATTCTAGGTAAAGTGTAAAAGCAAAGTTAGGCAATTTGAAATAATAAACAGTATAGCCCCTAATATTGCATTTCATGCAGCTTTGAAGTTTGCAAACGTGTAAGTCAATCATAACACATCTGTTGTCAAATGGGAATCGTGATGTTCTCTCATATGTTTCAGGTTAACGTGTGTCCCATAGTCTTCTTCACTGATGCTTCCTCACTCAATTGACTGTAAAACATCTCTGAAAGAGTACCGGCACACAAGGGTGTAAACAAGCAAACAATACCTCTACTGCGTCGCCTACGCATGTTCGATTTCTCATCTGAACTCATGTGCAACACCCTCTTCGTCCTTCAATTTTCAAACCTGCACCCATACCAAAACATCTGTTACGCATCGTCCATCTCCCATCTCAACTCGTCTGCGAATCCCCCCCTTCGTCTGTCAGATCACAACCCTTGGCCAATACCAAAAGATCTGCTCACATCGTATATGCCTTGACCAATGCCAAGCTGCCTGCAAAACAACTAGTTTCACTGAACGAAATCTGTTCTGAATAAAGCCTGTTAAAAAGCATGCAAATCACCGGTATTTACAGTGTTATTTACCGCGCACGAGTCCAAAAGGACAATAAGGTGCACACCCAAACAGGAATGACTGAAAGTCACGCTTTCAAGCATCTTGGAACCAAACGTGCTTTAAAGCGCTGAAAAACGCGTTGTGGGTGCCCAGTACTGGATTCAAGATTCTAGATCTGTCCTGGGAATGATGAACCTTAGATCCAACAGAGCTTTCAAGTGGGCACAGCTAAAGGCTCAAATGTGGGGTGCCTGAAAAGAAACGGGAAATCACGAATAGTACTGCCAATACCATGAGCCTCTCTTGGGGCATGTTTGGTTTTGCATTTTTTGGGGCCGGGGCTACCATAATACATATATATATATATATAAACTATACGTGTGCAACAGTCAGCATGTACGTATCATATTAGGCATACTTGTCCAAACACATGACGCAATAGAGACATCTTGCGAAGCACTTCGGTCCTTGAGATGCAGCTCGGAAGTTTGGGCGGCCTCTCGCGCCTGTGCTTTGCTCGCCTCCAAGTCTTTGAGCTGCTTCTCCCAGCGGCTCTTCTCCCCAGTGCTAGCGACATTCCTGGCGCCGAAGCATGAGGGGTAAATGGGAAACCCCTCCATTCTCTGGGAATCATGGCAAATTTGAAGCTGTTGTTCTAGAGGGTAAACCCTCCACTTTCCAGGGGGAATCATGGACGACCTCTGCCGCGTTTGTGGCGTGCCCTTGCGACCCACTGCACAACGACGGGTGGAAACCAACTTTTGCGCCATCTCAGTGGTTGTGAGGCGCAGCTGCCATGATATTTGCCCCCCTCGGAAATACCATTGTGATCCACTGCACTGATCAATCACACCATCAAGGAATATTGTGCCTAGAGCACAGCGCTCACCTGAAAACTCGCGCCCGGAGCAATCCCAGCTGCAGCCAAGAGGCTGACTCTGCTGCTCTGCAAGCTGACTCCTTAAACAACGTAGCATTCACTGAATTTGCTGAACAAGCTTGTTTGAACTGATCTCACCTATACTCATCAAGCTCGAGTCTAATTGGCTCACCCTAAAAAAGTTGAAGATTTAACTGAACCTGAAGCACCTCTCATTCTCCAGCAACACCTGACTCAAGGCATTGCTGCCGCAGCGTCTGGAGCCGTGTGCTATCCTTCTTGAGCTGGGCACAAATCTCGTCCAGCTCTTGGTAGCGATGTTGGAGCGAGAGCAGCTCCTGGCCAGTGCAAAGCAAACAGTAGCATCTGACAACATTCATTGAACGCCGTTCACCTTGTCCAAATTCCGGCGCGGACACGTGTCAGGAGACGGCGACTGCTCGCACCCACCAGTTTGGACGAAGTCTCCTGTAGGACATTTGTGGCTCATTGTTCCTACAGTAGCCAGCTACTATCCCGAAGCTTCCGTTGTAGCCAGGGCGAGATTTTGCACTAGAATTGAGGTTCTTCGGTGGCTTTGCCTCCGCAAACACACACCAAGGCAGGCTCATATATGTCCCCATCCCTGACTCATTCCCGTGGCCGCCATAGTGAGCGCGTTCAACAGCCCGTGTCTTCAACTTCGATGGCTTGAAGGTAAAATCAGCGTCGACAGCCCCACAGGTTTTCAACGACTGAAAACCCCACGGGTTTTGGATCTCTTTCCTGGCGGTCTGCCGCGGCCATGCCGGTGACGCTCGCGTAGTTCCGCTGCAGCGCCTGGAAGGCGCGGCTTTGCCTCGGAATGCGCAAAAGAACGCGCCGAAGACGCCTTACGCCTTACCCATCCGTTTTCTCCAGCCCCGAACATTCCCTGCATTCATACCACGTACTCAACACGATAGCATGACGAAGCAAACACAGCTCATGACTGCGCATGTTATGCAAATCGCTAATAACACTTACAGCATCAGATTCAGCTCCGGAACTCTCTATCAGTAGTCCTTCCGTTGTATTCACCCTGCAAGCAGGGCAAATCGTGTTGAGCCCTTAAGGGTGTCTGAAAATCGGGATCTTCCGAGTGCTCTCTTTTCCGGGTTTCCTTTTGAACCCCCCAAAAAACCGTTTTGAGTAAACCACCGGCGGGTTTCCTTTTCCTTCCGTTTCCCTCGAGGCGACTTGTTTTGGGGTCGGCCGCTGCGGCCGAGCGACTCCTCCAAGTCTGCGCGGACCCGCAGCTCGCCCCTCAGGTCCTCAGCGGGTCTAAAGTCGGACCACTCCAAATGCTTCCGTGTGGGTCCTTGTTGCCTAGGTTGCCTTTAGCGCGACTTGCTTTCGGTCCTGTGCACGGCAGAGCAGTGCAGCATGCCGGTACCATGGTTGCCTTTAACAGACAGGAATCAATTGTCCCAGGAAAGCATTGTGCTGCGTTTTGGCAGTTCGGCTTTTATCCTTGTCCCAGGGTTTGATGCCTTGCGCATCACGCACCAACTCGAGATTCCCGCAGTGTGACTTCTGTCAGCACAAAGAACCTTTCTGCGGACCATTTACCAAAACTCCGGGAAACCGAAGCAGAGCCCCAGGCAAAAGGTCGTCAACTGAGGGAACTTCCCCCCCGGGCTTGTTTGTTCTCGTTTCGTTTCGTCGCGCTTTTCTGGTTGCACTGCTCTGACTAGCAAATACACACGGGAATACATATACACATACACACATATATGTGAGGAGCGGACGAAACACTTTACTTGGCCCTAGTACTTTTTTGAACGTTACCGTTTTTGGGGGAGACCTTATCGTTTTACAGTGTTTTCGAACTTTGGCAGAACCGGCTCGAAAATCGCAACTTTGTAGTACAAGTCTAGTACGCAAAGTACACTTCCGCATCTCCAGCTCGAAAATCGCAACTTTGTAGTTCAAGTCTAGTACGCGAAGTACACTTCCGCATCTCCAGCTCGAAAATCGCAACTTTGTAGTACAAGTCTAGTACGCGAAGTACACTTCCGCAGCTCCAGCTCGAAAATCGCAACTTTGTACAAGTCTAGTACGCGAAGTACACTTCCGCAGCTCCAGCTCGAAAATCGCAACCGAAGTACACTTCCGCAGCTCCAGCTCGAAAATCGCAACTTTGTAGTACAAGTCTAGTACGCGAAGTACACTTCCGCAGCTCCAGCTCGAAAATCGCAACTTTGTAGTACAAGTCTAGTACACGAAGTACACTTCCGCAGCTCCAGATCGAAAGTCGCAACTTTGTAGTACAAGTCTAGTACGCGAAGTAAACTTCCGCAGCTCCAGCTCGAAAATCGCAACTTTGTATCACAAGTCTAGTACGGGAAGTACACTTCCGCAGCTCCAGCTCGAAAATCGCAACTTTGTAGTACAAGTCTAGTACGCGAAGTACACTTCCGCATCTCCAGCTCGAAAGCCGTCAGCTCGAAAATCGAAACTTTGTAGTACAAGTCTAATACGCGAAGTACACTTCCGCAGCTCCAGCTCGAAAATCGCAACTTTGTAGTACAAGTCTAGTACGCGAAGTACACTTCCGCAGCTCCAGCTCGAAAATCGCAACTTTGTAGTACAAGTCTAGTACGCGAAGTACACTTCCGCAGCTCCAGCTCGAAAATCGCAACTTTGTAGTACAAGTCTAGTACGCGAAGTACACTTCCGCAGCTCCAGCTCGAAAATCGCAACTTTGTAGTACAATCTAGTACTTGCAAAGTACAGTTCCGCAGCTCCAGCTCGAAAATCGCAACTTTGTAGTACAAGTCTAGTACACGAAGTACACTTCCGCAGCTCCAGATCGAAAGTCGCAACTTTGTAGTACAAGTCTAGTACGCGAAGTAAACTTCCGCAGCTCCAGCTCGAGAATCGCAACTTTGTAGTACAAGTCTAGCAAGCGAAGTACACTTCCGCATCTCCAGCTCGAAAATCGCAACTTTGTAGTACAAGTCTACACTTCTGCATCTCCAGCTCGAAAATCGCAACTTTGTAGTACAAGTCTAGTACACGAAGTACACTTCCGCATCTTCAGCTCGAAAATCGAAACTTTGTAGTGCAAGTCTAGTACGCGAAGTACACTTCCACAGCTCCAGCTCGAAAATCGCGACTTTGTAGTACAAGTCTAGCTCGAAAATCGCAACTTTGTAGTACAAGTCTAGTACGCGAAGTACACTTCCGCATCTCCAGCTCGAAAATCGCAACTTTGTAGTTCAAGTCTAGTACGAGAAGTACACTTCCGCATCTCCAGCTCGAAAATCGCAACTTTGTAGTACAAGTCTAGTACGCGAAGTACACTTCCGCAGCTCCAGCTCGAAAATCGCAACTTTGTAGTACAAGTCTACACTTCTGCATCTCCAGCTCGAAAATCGCAACTTTGTAGTACAAGTCTAGTACGCGAAGTTCACTTCCGCAGCTCCAGCTCGAAAATCGCAACTTCTCCAGCTCGAAAATCGCAACTTCTCAGTACAAGTGTCGCATTTACGAGGCACACCTTGGCAGCTCCAGCTCGAAAGTCGCGACTCGCCTTCTCGTTTTACGGTGGCCACGCAAGGGTCCCACCCTAGCTAAGTTGCAACTGCAGGGGTTATTATAGTGTCGTGTGTTAGCTAAGGGTTATCGCTTTTGGGGGAGACCTTATCGTTTTTCATGGTTTTGGCATGTGTTATGCAAAAACGTACCCCGCCTTGATAAAGTGGTCTTCGTGTGTTTTGTCCGTGGCTCATGTGTAGACAGTCTACTTGTAGAACAAACTTGAGGATCAACAACAAGAAGCACAACACCCTATCCCCCAAGCAAAGGGTTGCTAGGCATCAAATACAATATGTGTCCTTGGCGCTTTCGTGCTTGTGTCTCTTCTTTGTGGTGTTCCGTTCGTTTGCTGGTTTCCGAAGGCGCGTCCCACGCTGCTGGCAAGTGTCTGGTGTGTATCTATCTGTTCTATTGGCTTTCAAGTACGCATGGCTTGCGTTAGCGTATCTCCAGTGATTTTCCGAGTACAGCACGTGCCTAATGTATATATATATATAGTCTATGTCTAGCATATGTTAGTAGTCAATGGCATTATGCCGAATATGTCTAGCACATAGTTGCCAGCATTTTCCTAGAAGTCTCAACATGCTTCGAGTGCGCTCCTATGTTGTGTCTTGCATGTGTCCAGCATAGTTGTATGACGTTCATACCTGGCTTCTAGTATGCATGATACATATTTCGGGTATAGCATTTGCGTGATCCGTTCATAATGTCTTAAATGGTTCAGGTGCATCTCTGAATGTGTCTAGCTTAGCTTTATTATACTTCCAACTCAAATCAAACACACGCACACCACGCACACGCACACGCACACGCACACGCACACGCACACGCAAACGCACACGCACACCCACACCCACACCCACACGCACGCACACACCACACGCACACCACACACACGCACACACGCACCACGCACACACGCACACACGCACGCACGCACACACGCACGCACACACACACACACACGCACACACGCACACACACACACACACACACACACACACACACACACACACACACACACACACACACACACACACACACACACACACACACACACACACACACACACACACCCGCACGCACGCACGCACGCACGCACGCACGCACGCACGCACGCACGCACGCACGCACGCACGCACGCACGCACGCACGCACGCACGCACGCACGCACGCACACACGCACACACGCACACACGCACACACGCACACACGCACACACGCACACACGCACACACGCACACACGCACACACGCACACACGCACACACGCACACACGCACACACGCACACACGCACACACGCACACACCAACACAACACAACACAACACAACACAACACAACACAACACAACCCAACACAACACATCACAACACAACACAACACAACACAACACAACACAACACAACACAACACAACACAACACAACACACACACACAACACACACACAACACACACACAACACACACACACAACACACACACAACACACACACAACACACAACACACACACACAACACACACACAACATACACACAACACACACACAACACACACACAACACACACACACACACCTGGCCAGAATACTTCAAGCCTGGTTCTAGTTTTGCTTGGCGTGTTATGAGTCTCTCCAAACACATGTCAAACCATAGGTATCCAAGGTTCTAGAAGTGCCTTCTCCGCTATTCCGAGAGATCAAACAGACACCTGTTTTATCCGGAAAACTCAGTGCTGGGGACATTGCTCTCTCTTTGAGAGCTGACCCTAAAGGGTTGTTGTTGTTGTTGTTGTTGTTGTTGTTGTTGTTGTTGTTGTTGTTGTTGTTGTTGTTGTTGTTGTTGTTCTTGTTGTTCTTGTTGTTCTTGTTGTTGTTGTTGTTGTTGTTGTTGTTGTTGTTGTTGTTGTTGTTGTTGTGGTCGTCGTCGTCGCCGTGGTCGTCGTCGTCGTCATTGTTGTTGTCGTTGTTGTTACACAACCATATGGTCATTCGTGTTCCTCCCAATGTCAGCTATTGATTGCAATTCAGACTGTTGACCCTTGTTCCCTTGTTCGACCACCAGGTGGATTATGTTTCTTTTTTGGGCTAGTCATCTAAAGAGACCTGAAGCTTTACCGGCCCACATCTGACCCGCTTCCAGTGACCTGTTTGGGCAACACTACTCTGCAAGGTTGTATATGGGTCTGTCTTCTTCTCTTTGGAGTTGGCACTTCATTCTGGGTGTTTTTTTCAGGGGAACCAAAACGATAAACACAACTTTTTGGGGGGTCCCTAAAAAACACACACACACCGAGATATAAATGCATATGTAAGGGTTCACCCGGACTGGAGCGGTGTCGTGACACCGTATCTGCAGTAGAGGCTCGGTCTTGACCAACGCGCCCTCAGACTTCCTTACAACCTCGGCGGTATTGATTGAGCACTGGCCATCAAGCTACGATTGTACATTTGGCATGGGTCAAAATCCCGTACCCCCAGTGAACATCCCAATCCCATTCAAATAGGCTAAAATGGGTGGCGCACCTACCCCAAAATGGTACCATTGGTTTTGACCCACAGCCATTTATTTATATGAAGGAGTCCAGCTGGACTACTGCTTGCTCGACTTTCGTTTGGCAGGCAGCAAACAAAGACACCAGTCGCGACATAAACTAATACGACTCAACAGCAACACTTGGACAGCAAGTTTACCTAACTCATACGAGACGGGGCTATAAGAAAGACAAACAGGCCGTCAGCAAAGCAGCCCCTCGTCAGGCATCCAGCACAGCGCTTGTCTCAGCCATCCCAGCTATCCGGCAGACCAGCCGTGTCCTCCCTTCCGGTTTCTTCATGCTCCTTCTCCCTTCCTCTTCTCTTCCGAATCTCTGTTCTTCCATATTTTGGCTTGCCGAGATTTGCCTCTTGATGAAAATATCCCTCCATGTTGTTAGGGCAACTATTTCCTGTACAGGATGTCAACTTCTCGCTGAGTTTTGCCTGTAGAAGAACGAAAACATGACTCTTTCCGGGCAAGCGGATTTCAGGTCGCTTCGGTAGGGCTGAGCTGCTGGCATCTGCACCAGCCTCCCGCAGAATCTCTCCAACCTCCATCTTGCGGCCGTCGCCTCGCTTCAACATGTCTGACTGGGTATGGCCGGCCAACTTCTCCCCTCACGTGCGGGGATCGACGACTCTTACGCCATCAATGAACACAGCTGCTACCTCGTGGGAAACACATCAGCCACCTCCCTCAACTTCTGGGACGATACACATTGGCCAACGATACCTGGCAGAGTCTAGCATATTTGCACATCAGAGTCCGTCGCATCAAAGCCAAGCCGCGCATTGATCTTATGTCTTTGAGGACCGCCATGGCAACATGCAAGCTCGAAGATGTCCCGTAGCATTGCAATGGCTTGCGAAGTATCCGCGACAAACACACCAAGCTTCAAAAATGTAACATCTGCACCGAGCTTCCAGGAGCTCCAACAACGTAGATGAAACCAGTGTGAATTATCTAAATTCATGAGTACGACTTCTAATGACACAAATCAAACGGCTGAACAACTGAGCACGAGCCGACAATTGCATCATTGGGAAATGCGGCTACATACTTGCAGCATGAGGCCAATGTCAGTGTGCTCCTTGCAAGAGCGCTCCAGTGGCGCAGGCGACAGTGAAGCCGTCGCATGCGCGTACAGGCACCTTTTATCAGCTCTCTGTTGGATGATGTGAGTGAGGCGAGCGTGCGTTGCAGTGATTAATTATATGCACATCACCTTGAGAGGTGGCTGTGGCCAAAAAACCACCATTCCGGGCATATGCCTTCCTGTCTGTGCAGATTCCCCACTGCCAGCGCAAGCAGCACAATAAGCTCTTCAGGAAGACATTGCAAAACTCAAAGAGACCCAACTGCTGTGGAGTCTTTGCAATGCAACCAGCATCTCCACTGGTGCAGTCTGTAGGAGACCACGCGTTTGTAGGATGTTTCAAATTAAACAACTAAGTAGTATTGCGCAGCAAAGAGCGACTCTTGTTCTCGGCAAGATATTCCCAAGCGCTTCACCGACACACCCCTCACTCTCATCTCTCGTGTGGCCAGGGTGGGAACTCCTCAAAGCTAGGTCCCAGTGTCTCATGTGGCCAGGGCACCAAGAGGTCTGGATCACAGGATCCTCCAAAGACAGGCGAACTTCGGCCCGTGGCAGGCGTCGCCGGTCGCCTCCACGTGCGTTCAGCCTGGGCATCCTTCAACTCATCCTCCTCGAAATGCCTGGCCAAAACGGCAGCCTCACCCTGAAAGAGCACACATCACCGCAAAGAGCTCAACAGCTCCCAAAGGGAGCTGAAGCCATCAATAAGAGCATCGATGCTACCACTGACTGAAGCCTCGGAAACGCATTGGGGTCTCAACTGCTTTAAGCGACTTGCAGAACTAATTCATCAACTCAAGTCCGTTCCTAGCGGGTTGCCACCTGAGGCAACCCAGCGCTCGCATGCAAACCCCAGCCGCCTCGGATGCGAGTCACGTGTGCCTGAGCAGCCAAATCACTTCCAAGCCAAGAGCACCTTTGGGAAAGAGTGGCATGCAACCAACCCATTGCCAGTCAAGACCGATCATGGTTTGCCAGGGAATTAATAAAGCAGCTGTAGATCGTGGATGCGTTTTGCACACGGAGGAAAAATGTGTCAATCCATCTTGAAGGCGTAAAATGGGCATTGCAATGACTTGGCACCAACACGCCGTCTGCCCAAGTGCGTAGTCAATATGATTCCCGCCCGCCCTGCGCCTTCTGCAGGGAGAGCCTGCTTAGCCTCTCACGCTAGGCCACGGTGCCAGGAGTGCTGCGAATTGGGTGACTCACCAAACGTTGTTGTCTATGACAGCCACAGTTTCATCAAACAACTATCAACCAGCCTCCACAACATACGATGAGCTCAAGCAAAGCAGAGCTCACTCAGCTTCACTGCACATGATGACCATGGCAAAGCCTTCCTGAGAGAGCTAGGCCTATGACAGGCGTGGGTTCTTGGCACAGTTTGGTGACTTCAGCTGGGCTTCAGGCTTCATGAGCTGTTGGCATCGAATGTGAGATCTGACCGTTAGGTATACATGTGTATATATATATATAGCATGGTGCCCCCCATGGATCTACCTCCGTCCTATTTCTAAGCTGAGGTTTGGTCAGAAGACCTATATATTTCACCAACCAAAAGCAATAAATCTGTACGCAAGGGACCATGTCTAGGGTGAGATCGCTTTGCCCCCAGCTGAGCTCCTACAATTTGAATTGTGTAGAGCCTGAAAATGTCCACATGAGTGAACAACTGCATTTGCCAGCTCGCGGCTCGCATCGGCCTCAGTTCTCTCTGCTTTCGCCTTCTTTGCCCGCCTGCAAATCCTGCGCATTGCGACGGCTCAATGGCCTGGCCGGTGAAAACGCTTCGCGGCTAAACACAATCAAACCGTGGTGCAAAGGGCTGGGTTACAGAAAATTATACAGGATTAAAAAAAAAAACAGAAGTAGGGTGTTTGGGGGCCATTCCCTGTAGATTTTCCTGTAAGTCAACCCTTTGAATGGTGCAATCAGCAAAATTTGAAGTCCTAGAATGGTTCGCCTATACATGCGACTTGCTTGGCAAGGGACAGACTTTCGGCTTGGTGAATCCTGGAGCATACGGCTTGGTAGAGGGGCAACTTGCGCCATGATTGGATTTCTGCGTGGATGAAGATGTATGTATATATATATATATGTAATATACATATATATATATATTGTATACATACATATATATATATATATAGATATACCTGGACCCTCAAACGACAAACACATATTTGTAGTTTTGTCTTTCGACTCCATTTCACGTGTTTTCTTAATAACCGACAAAAACGCTTTAGGATTGCGTGGTTTGCTCGCAACGGATGGATTGTTTGTGCTTTGAAGGAAAGCAGTAGCCTGCCATACAAAGCCACCTACGTGTTCCTGCTTCCAAGGCTTTTCGAGGGGCCCGTCAGTGCATGCTGCAGGTGTCCTCACATGATTTTGCCCGCAAAACGCCAGCAAAAACCCAAAAACACCTGCAAATCCCGAAAACTTGTAGTGGTGTGGTGTTGGGGAGCTTTTTGAACATGAGCATAATCATCCGTGCACATTGGCATCATCAGCAGTGACAGTAGCGCCCTTCTCTCGACACAAACGTCTGGTTATTGGACAGAACGACAAGTTATCCCCAGAAACGACGAACTCGCCAAATATTTGTACGAACCGCCCAAGAAACAACAACGCCAAGTTATTCTATGTCATTTGAGGGTCAAGTATATATATATATATTAATATGTGATCGCCCGCCCCAAAGATGGAAGCAAACAAAAAACATGACCAGCGACTTAACCGTGCTCTGCCAAGCAATCACTTGGTCCAAACACACGCAGGGGTTTCTGGTCTTCCGGATTCCACTGCTCCCTCAAGGTTGCACCTGGTGCTTTGAGCGCAACAAAAAACCCACAGCGCTTGTGCCTCAAGCCAGGCCGCTGCTCCTTGCGCCTCGGTTCTGCTGCTAACTTGCCACCGTCTGGTTGGATAAAAAAGCTGAATCTGCGTGTTTTGGTTGGAGGATGAGCTGGTAGCGTAGCTGAGATCTTCATGTTTCCCAAGTCTGTGCAGTCACAATGTTGCTTGCAGTAGTGGCAGCCTCCTGCAGAAAAACACATTCTCGAGCTGTTCAACTTGCTGCAAACGCTTTAGAGTTGCCAAAGAGTGCAAACATGCAGCAAGCAAAGCCCAATTGTTGGAAGGAGCAGGCCCAGCGGCTGTTGCAACCGTCTGAAATCCACATACTAGAGAACGAACACTCCAGCCCCCACGATCCTTTTTCACAGCACCCTCCCCGTATGCAAAGTGGCACTGGGCAAAGGGAACCCAAATGCAGCAGTTCGAATGGTCTTCCTTGGGGTACTTTGCTGGGATCGTTGTAGGGACGCCCAAGGGGAGCCCGGAAAATCCCTTTCTCCAGGAAAGGGCCAAACGATATTTCTAGGGTGCATTGTGCTGAGAGGTGCCGCTACGGTCGTCCAAATGGTCCCCCCTTTCAGGGCCCAAAAAAAGTTCGGAACTTAAACAGCAGAAATTTAAGTCATGGTTTCTATTTGTGATGTGCTGGCTTAGTATTTTTCTTCAAAACCGGTTTAGTGTTGGTCTAGTGCTGGTTCTAAATTCGATAAGACTGGAGTTGGGGGCGGCATTTGCCGGTTTTTAGAACTGGCATAGTATTGGCTAACCCTATATAACTTGGCATTGAAATTGGGTGTCTTGGAAGAATAATATTTATTCATGGGGCGCATTTACAATTAGGGGGAATATATTATTCAGTATGCAAGGCGTATAAAGCGAACACTGCACATTCGTGTACTTCCATTCTGCCACTGTGCATGCGACAGCTTCAACTTGTTGCTGCCAGCACGCTGCTCCGTAGGCTGCTGCCTGGTTCAAATGCTGGGCCGATTGCAATCGGGCTCGAAGATCACAAATCTATTGCCCGGCAACAAGAAAGGCTCGCAAGGTAGCTAAGTACATGGAACAAATACAGCCAAATCATTTGGTGAAACTTTCCACACCTGGGAAAACCAGCCAGAATAAGGACATATCCATGTGGCTTTGGAGAGCTTGCTCGGCCCTTCTGATCATTGAGTCAGTTCAGCTTCTGCTTTGCCCTTGACTCCATCACTTCGATACTCTGTCTGAAGTCGCAAGCCCAGCAGTCTTTCTTAGAACGCAGCCTGATCAAATGTTGCTGTAAGACATGGCTTTTGCCTGGCAACCGACCACCTACCTTTAGTTTACTTGCATAAGCCAGCCCACAGGAAATTAGAATTGCACAGCAGTACACATCGGACACATCGGACACATCGGACACCTTCTGCTGTGACTTTACTGATCAGCCATGCCAAATAGTTCTATCTGTGGTTGCCTCTTCTGCTTGGCATCTTTGGCGCGAAGCCAGTCCTGCGGGTGTGCAACCGGTTTAGCTGGACATGCTGCAAGCGCACGTGTCCTTTGATGGACGCTTGTCAAAACATTCTTTCCGGAACATGCGCTGCATCAATGTGTTGCACTTGAACGTCATGCCGCCATCCTAAGACTGCCTGACACTGTGAAGCAATACATGAGCTACATCCTTTTGAAGCCGTCTCTGTTCGCAGCCCACTCCTCGGTCTGCCTGAAGTCAGGCGCCGGACCTTCGGAATCGGGATCCGGGTGAGGCGGATTTTTTTTCCCGGTGTCTGGGATCAAGATTCTGGGAATTGGGTAGGGGACGTGCCACACAAGGGCCGCTATCAGGAATCCTGAAAAGGAGGCACGGCTGAAATGCGCCAATTGGGCTGCACGAGCCGAAAGCAGACGCAAAGTGTGCTTCGCGCCCGTGCAGCAGAAATCAGCAAGGGTTTGCGGGAAGCTCGCACATCTCCGGGCTCAATGAAAGGCAAAGAGCGAGCTCAGCGCCCTGCGGGGCGTGCGGCGTGTTGAGGGCGTGGAAGACCTGCTCAGTGGGAATGCACTCGGGACACAAGGTGTCGATCTGCAGTTCCCAAGGCCAGTCAGAGGCTCAATCCAGAATCCCATTGCCCAATTTCCACTGTCAGCCCGGCTCCTCAAACAGAACCCGGCTCTTTGCAAGCTTGACACGCCTGTCATCATCTTGAATATAATATATTCATGCTGTGCTTTGCTCGCAAGCAAGAGCGCCAACCACAAATGGTCGCGCATGCAAGTCATACCGATTGCCGTCATACCGATCGCACTCCCAATCCAAGCTGGCCATTATGTGTTTGCGTGCCAGGACCTCAAATATGCGAAGCGATTCTGCTTCCTTGCATCCGCCAAAGGCTTGCAAGACACCATTTGTAACTGTTTTACAGCAAACATCGACAGGATTTGCGGCCTGCCACGGTCCACGATCATCTCCAGAGTCACCTGAGAGGTAATCTCCTCCCCCAATTAATGAATGACCCCCATTAATAATAAATGCAAATCCGGGGCCCGAGACCAGATTTCCACTCCGCACAATTGATTTTTAATTGCGCCAATACTAAACCAATACTAAAGTCTTGGAATCCTTATTAGGGGGCACTTTTAACAAGCTTCCAGCCCCACTTTTAAGCTGCGACTGTCTCTCCCCCATACATGCTGGCTAACCTGCCTGGCTGCCAACAAACAACCAGTAAGCTGAAAAACAAATAGAATGATACATGAAATTTCCTTATTAAACCGCTTACTCGCGGACCTTACAATTCAATCCATTTCCTCCAAATCCTATGCGAACCCTCACATTGTTGGAAAAGCAAAAAAACCCAACCCCGAAAACCCCAATTAAAAAAAAAATCTATTTTTGGGAGGATTTATTTATAATAGGGGGGGGGGGGGCCGTATTTATTAATAGGGGGAAGAGATTAGAAGTCATGTGCCCCTTGGTGCTCCTTCCGGACATCTCCGGCTGAGGTAACCGCTGGCCCCAGGGGCAACTCGTGAAGGATGGGCACATTTGCCTGAACCGAGATGGACAATCTGCTGCCACGACTCCCGCGACCCATGACTTTGCTCGCTTTCTCCAGTCTTCTTCGCTGGGCATCGTGAACTTATCCACAAAGTAGCTGTTGGATTCCGTGTGGCCATGGGTCAAAATCCTGTACCCCCAGTGAACATCCCAATCCCCACTAAAATAGACTAACATGGGTGGTGCACCTACCCCAAAATGGCACCATCGTTTTTGACCCACAGCAATGTCAATTTGCAAAGAACGTTTTGAACAGCAGCGCTCAACTCGAAGTATCCAGGCCTTCGCTTTGACTGACTTGTTGCTCTCTGATGCCGCCTGTCGCGTCACAATACGAAGCACCGCCCGAGTAGCGGTAAATTGCGCTCGAGTTGCGGGTTCGTTCTCTCTCGAGCACTTCAAGAAGCATCTAGGCAACCTAAAAAATGCTCGAATTGGATTTGAGCAGAAAAAAAACGCTCGAATGCCAAAAACTGCCTGAGCCCTTTTTTGTGTATCAAAGGGTCCTGCAGGGGATACATAGTAATGTGCATATGTGTATATATATATATAATGCATACGTTGCATACGCACACTTTGATCATTCACAACAATAATACTGGTTTTCCATCGGCGCTGTTGGTGTGGACCCATCAACATGCCCCTCACTTTGAGTACCGACGGAAAGCTAGATACACTTTCTTGTTCCTGCATCAATCTGGCAGAGTTGGCGACAACAACTCACACAGTATGTCATAGGCAAACCAGGATCGATCCTTCAATGTGTTGGCTTGCTTTGCGCTTCATCGAGAATGTCTTTTCATGCCAGGGGGATCTGAGTCGTCCGTGTCACATGCCACAAAGGCCAACCGTTGGTTCCTCTCAGCCGGCTTTTTCTGACTTGGCGGAGCCTGGAAAAGCTCCAACTTGCTGACCGCCGTTGGGCGTGCCAGCTGGTTGTTGCCAATCGCAAGTTCATTGGCTCTTGCCTACGAACATCGCCCAGTTCGGCCCTCACCCGTGTCGGTGATTGTTTCGGCGCACTTGTGGCTGTGAAACTGGGCTGAGAAGTGCATGGCTAAAATATAGCACGCTTTAAACTATCCATTTCGGCCAGTTCTTTTCAAAACCACCTGGCTTCCAGGATTCCTAGGTTTCGCATGGTATACATGGCCGGCTTCACGTCGGCCTTTGGCCAAATCCTCCAAACGGATGCATCGCACTTCCCGAGCTGGGCCTCGCTTTTCTCCCGCGCCCTCCGAGCTCCGACGGCGAGCGGCGCACGTTCGGCTCACGTGCCAAGCTCGGCCAAGCGCTGCTTCCGCACCTGGAAGCACGATAAATGGCCAGTCTCCGGTCTCCTACCTTGCCGTTGGAAGGGGAGCAAAAACTCAATTTTAGCAGTTAAGTGGTTGGATTTCAACCACTAAACCACAATATGCAAAAATGCAAAATGTGTCCCAACAACAACCATGCTAAGGACCCAAAGGAGCTGGGGAGGGAAAGAAACGGAAGGCCCTTCATTCAAGAACCCACATGCTCCCTTGGTCCCCGGTGTCCGCGGTGAGAACAGGCTGCTCCTGTGCTAACTTAGTGTTGGCCCGAAGAGTGGTGGCCGCAGGTTGAATCAACCAATCCATGAAAGCTCCCCTCGCATTTGGTTTTGCTCTGTCAGTACTGCGTACTATAGCGCCACAAACAAACAAAGAACACGGCAATATACGGCAATACGTGTTGTTACCTTGCAAGTCCACCACTCTGCAATTGAAAGTTATGATGAGTGTATTGCAAACACCATTGGTCATCTAGCTAATATGCGAAAGAAATCATCGAGTGCTGGGATCATGGCACGAATCAGCACACACTTCCCATTCTTATCCTTTTGCAGGTCTACATTCCAAGAGAGAAACACAACGGCACCCAAGTCATGATCTTCAGCCTTGTCTTCCAAGTGATCACTTTGCAATTGCAATGAACCCTGAACTGTGGACCACTGCAACATCCGTGCTGTGAACTGGAACAGCCGACAGCATGTCTCTGTCGCCTGGTCTGCCAGGACCTTGTTCCGCTCGATGCGCCGCGTGCCAGCCAACCTGCAGTAACACGCTCTCGGCCCCTGCCCAAGCTGTCCAGGCCGTCAAAGCCGCCAAAGCAAAAAACTGCCCGTTGGCTCGATCACTTGCTGCGGGCCATTGGCCCACATCTCTGGTGTACTGCCTTCATTTCCAGCAGATCGAGCTCTAACTGCACGAAGTGTATCGTTGCCACTCTTGTCACTTATTTGTCTGAACCACGGCTCAGATCGTCAGCTCTTGTGTTGTACCCCGTTCTCCAGGACAACACTCAAATGCAGCATTCTAATCAAGAGTTCAGAACTTGCCGCCCTTGATGTTTTTGGGCATATTTGATAACAAAACCCGGCCGGCTGCTTGCTTCAAAACATTTCATGGGATGACATTCAATTGATACATAGGACTGGTGGAGGGTCACTTTCCCAATACGAACGCCTTGTGCGGTTAGATGCTGGCCGGGGCCCCGACTGGTGGACGGATGCCTGGCGCGAGCCGCCGTTTTTTGAGCAGACCTCACACATGCCTGCATGATCTAAACCATTGACCAGGCTCTTTGCAACATCCCAAGATATGGCACTCGTGAGTGATTCTGACCTTCACGGTTCCAATTGTCTTGACGCCGTCCTGATTCGGGCATATCGAGACTTGCTCACTCTGGAGAAACTGTAGTAACAAAGACTGCAACATGACCTTGAAAAACGGGTGCTTAGTGCCCGTGGTGAAAATACGAAAAAATAAAACCAAAGAGTCCCAACATCTACCCCACTGTCCGCCCATTTGCGGTGGCCGATCTCTGATCGGCTGCCAGAAACGGGCCCTGGATCTCTCACAGCCCCGTAAAAAGTCGCCTGCAGCTCTTCGAGATTGGACCCCTCCTGGCAAAGGCTCGGCGGTCAATGTCGAGTTCATGGCTGCGACAAGTGATTTGGCCCTCCGTTCTTTCAAGGGTCCAACTGTCAAGCTGCTCTTTGGATAGGATCAAGTTGCCAGAACACTCATCAAGCCGAACTGAAGCACAAGAGGCTGGGCAGCGGCATCGCTGCTCAAACAACTAATGTTGTCTTGGACATGTTGCACACGCAAATTGGCACTTCCGGCGCTCTGTAGGGAACAATCTTCCTCCAAAATCGGGCCGCAGTTGTGTGTGTGTGTGTGTGTGTGTGTGTGTGTGTGCGTGTGTGCGTGCGTGCGTGCGTGCGTGCGTGCGTGCGTGCGTGCGTGTGTGTGGGGGTGCGTGCGTGCGTGCGTGCGTGCGTGCGTGCGTGCGTGCGTGCGTGCGTGCGTGCGTGCGTGCGTGCGTGCGTGCGTGCGTGCGTGCGTGCGTGCGTGCGTGCGTGCGTGCGTGCGTGCGTGCGTGCGTGCGTGCGTGCGTGCGTGCGTGCGTGCGTGCGTGCGTGCGTGCGTGCGTGCGTGCGTGCGTGCGTGCGTGCGTGCGTGCGTGCGTGCGTGCGTGCGTACGTGCGTGCGTGCGTGCGTGCGTGCGTGCGTGCGTGCGTGCGTGCGTGCGTGCGTGCGTGCGTGCGTGCGTGCGTGCGTGGGTGGGTGGGTGGGTGGGTGGGTGGGTGGGTGGGTGGGTGGGTGGGTGGGTGGGTGGGTGGGTGGGTGGGTGGGTGGGTGGGTGGGTGGGTGGGTGGGTGGGTGGGTGGGTGGGTGTGTGCTTGTACAAGTGAGGGGAGGATGGCGTTGTGATGATATTGTATGATGTTTGAGAGTGTTGTTTCTGGGTGACCAGCGAATCTGCGGTGCGACATGACAGGCAGGCCGGCTCTGAAGACTGGCCGACGCCCGCTGCCTGCGGGGCTGTGACTGCCAGTCTATTGGCATGATGCATTCGAGGCTTGTAACCCCACTGTGATACTACTGGATAATTTGGTGAGGGAAAGCTTCTTGTCGTTTCACCCCTTTCCAGTAGCTGATTCTGATACATACTGTGCTGACCCAGTGCTCATTCCTCACACTCTACGGAATTGGATCAACGCTTGGGGGGCCGTGAGCAATCTGGCTCAACGATCACAATATCAAAGCGAACGAATCCCCTCTGGCCCCTCAAAGCGGCAATTGCACATGGAAACCCCCTCTGTATACAGACATCGTCTATGGTTCTTGCCCGTCCTGACAGGGTGCAATCCTGAGCTTGCCTCGATTGCATTGGGCGCGTCTTCCTCCAGCTCCTCCTGGCAGAGAAGACTTATGAAGACTGACGTTGGCCATCAATGGCTTTGCTTGTGAAGTAGCTATTTGAGGTGATGCGGATTGTCTTTCACAATTAGGTGCGTTAAGCCCCCTGAGCAGGAACGTACATACGCACGATAACGCACGCGCGAGCGAGCACGCAAGCAAGCAAGTGTTGGCCGTCAAACGCAAAACTTGATCACACAGTGTGCATGTGCGCGTGCATGCGTGTTGGCATGTGTCCGTTTGTCAAGGCGAAACTTGTCACACTTCAACATCGTGAATCAATACCCCCCCCCCCCCCCTGCCCCATCAATAAAAGAACCAAACAATGCAACTCGTGATAGCAAAGCTCTAGGGGTTGATTCCCCATTTTTGTTCAACCATCGTTCTTTTCAAAAACCAGCTGTTTCCCCTGGGTTTTGGGTGGTTTTTTAGAAAGAAGGATGTCTGGAAAGAATGGGGAAGGTACCCCTAGAAAAGCATGTTTCCCTGGCCGCAGCGTTGATCCCGTTGACCCCGTCCTCCCGCGGGGTCAAAGCATCATCTGCAAAGCCTCTGCCCTGGCAGTGCTTCAAGTACGGCTGGGAGGCGATGGGAACGCCTCGCTCAAAGGCGCTGGAGGCAGGTTGCATCAACACTCCGTGAATCACACGGAGGCCCCGCAGTTCGTTGAGATAGTGTGGTTCCTATGGGCTTTACACCTCTTGAATCAAGGTGTTACATGGCGTTGCCATCTCTGCTCCAGCTCAACACTGATCTCGCCATAGTAGATCCTCGCCAATTTGGGGCACTGCATCTGTCTGGTCTATGCACTTTGATCCTCTTTGTCGCGGCCTCTTGCTTCCTTGACCTTGGCCCACCTTTGACTGAACCCTACTCGTTTTGGCGGTCCAAAGGAAACACCCATGTTCCCATACCTCACACGCCCCTCACACGCCCCTCACACGCCCCACACCTGCCTGGCATTCGGCCCTCCGTAGCTGCAGCCGCTTGAAAGTCCTCATCCACCTCCTCCAGCCTGCGCCCGTCCAGGCCCAAGGAGACATGGCTGTGATTGTCAAAACCAGGATCCCATTTTGGGGGGGGTTCGGTGCACCACCAATTTTAGGCTTTGTTTTAGTGGGGATGAAGATGTTCACTGGGGGGAAGATTTGGATTTTGACCCATGGCCACATTCTCGTGAACCTCTCCGAAAGCTCAGACTCAGTAGCTGCGGTACGGTCCCCCTGGTCTTTGTCACAAGTACAACGGCTGCGATCTTGACCTGAAAATGGTCCGACTCTTCTCATCAATTCTCTGACAGCAAAAGGTCGCCGCATGAGCCAAATGTTGGAACAAGCTATCGTCGGGACACCGGGCAGGTTCTGCAGGTCTGCCATGATACTCTTCACGTGGCGTCCGGCCTCGGCAAGTTGGTTAGCTGGGGTTCGCTTTGAAGCGCTGCCATTGACGAGATAGTTGCCACAAGCAGCCACGTGTCTGCTTCGCCCATGGCGCAAGCACGCTGTGACACCAGGTGCCCGGCCCACATCAACTTCGACATGTGCACCAGCCTCATGGAGTGCTGGTGTTTGTTTGTAAACACCACTCCCGGGCTGAACAAATTTGAAATGGTCCGTCACTCTGAACCATCCATTCTCAGGCACCCCATCATTTCAAACCAACACATGCCCAGTCCCATCCTGTCCTTCAAAAGTCGAGCTAAGCAATACACTTGCAAAAAGGCGACATAAGGTCACGGCTTCTGCTCATCTTCCCGGCCGTTCTGCAGTCAGAATTGTCTCGTGGCTTCCGGCCGCATCTTCTCAAAGTTCGGCCATGGGAAACACTCCAACGCGCGAGGCATACGTCAAAAGAGCCAACGGGCTGGGCTGTTCAAAATGGGCTGGCCAATCCTACTCCATGATCCCCGTAGGGAAGCCACTACAAAGGGGACCGGTTCCTAACGTAACCCCAGGTAAGGATTAAGGATTGCCTTTGAACAGCCCGTCCAAAGAGACGACTCCGCCTCCTTCTTCCAGGCAAAGACCAGCTTCAAGGGCAGAACCTCGGAACCCAGGGCATCCGATTTTGCAACCTGTGGCGTGCATGCAATTTGCAGGGTCTCAACACACAAAAGGCACCACTAGCCGATGAAAGGGGGGCCACACAATGCACTATTTTACCTCTCTGCAAACAACTTGACATGGGGCATTCCAAATAGCGCCGGATGAAGAAACGGGCACATGCTACTATAACATGTTGCCATTCAACTGTGACACGCAACTGTACTCAAAATGACACTTTCAATGGGCGGGCGCACATTCGACACAACTCGGTGAAAGCACACGCTGGGCTGGTCATCAGGTTTCACATTGCCCCATCACTGGCTCGAGTGCAAAGCGAGGAAGGAAACCAAATGGCGGAACGAGACAATATGAAGCCTCTTCAACCATTCATAGCTCCTGGAAGCCTGTCGCTTCTCAACCCAAAGAATATCCGGCCAAAGACAAAAAAAAAAAACATGTGGCAGAAACCGGACACATGCCAAGCACTGTGAACTTCAGGGTCCAAGGGCTGTGCCATATCCTGCATTGCTCTCAGGGTTGAATTGCCTTAGCATCGAGGGCTGAAGCTGGAGGCAGCAGGCCAGAGGTAGTGCAAACTGAAGAGTCTGATGGGTGCATGCTCTGTCCATGGGAGAATTGGGATAGGCAGCGGAGAAACACACACAAGGCTGATACACGCATACGCAGCCACACACACACACAGACACACGAACATTGCGTACCTTACTCTGTGTATCTATAAGCGCGCTCTGTGGTTTAGCTTTCACATCCGTTGGAATAGCATGTTCGGCGCATTGCACACTTCTTGATTGGAGGACCAAAGTTGACCAAGATTCATGGTTTTCGTTGCACCAGCGGCTAGAAGTCGGCGGAACACTAGGCTTGGCACTGCGCATAGGCTCATGGCTAGGAAGACTACCGTGCGGTATCCTTCGAGGTATTGTTCGGGTATCATTCGGGGGATCGTTCGGATTTTTTGTTCCCGGTCCATGGCAACAAAACTAACATCTGTTCCTCTTGACACAAGGGAACTTGGAACATCAGTTGATGGTCTATCGCAACTTAACCTGAGCCCAAGCGGATGTCTAGATACATAGAAAGCACTCCACAGCCAAGCAAAGGTTCACGTTTTGCCAAATGCATTTGGCCTATCGTTTTACAGGAGTTTTCGCCTTCTTGCCGAACGTTGGGCGACTTTTACCAAAACCTTTATGGGCTTAGCAAAGGTAAGCCACTGACCCGAATTCAAATTGTGTACGGAAAACGTGGCCACTTGATGCGCGTTGTGCAAGCATTCTATTAACATTTGGCTCATCTTGTATGCACTTGCCCAATAAACCTTCTTTCGTGCCCCAGGAGCGACGCTGGTTTTGCAAGTCTAGGTCACGCGACTCTTGCGCTTCCTCGCTCCCAGCATGCCCCTCCAGTTCATTGCAATGGGTTTCCGCAAATCGGCTCCAAACCGAGGGCGCCACTATTCAGGTTGGCACCCTTGAAGGAGTGCACTGGAAGCAGCCACGCCCCCTAGCGCTGAAGCCATGATGATTCGTCGGGTGACATGTGGTCAACTGCCATGCCTTCCGAACCTCAGCGCGGAAAGGGGGAAGACAGGCCCCTAAAACGGGTACGACCTTTTCTGAGGGTATGCAGCGCGCAACGAGGCGCGAATCTTGATACGGAGGTATGTAACCGTGGCCCCTGCTACGCATGCGGGGGCAGAGAGTCGCAACTTCTTGGCACAGTGTGACGCAGAAATTGCAGAACAACAAAGCGCAAGTCCGCTGCTCCAGCTTGAAATCATTGAACATCACAAGAAGCATAGCGCGCGAGGCTCCCGCTCAAAACTTGCAACTACTCAGACAGGTCCAGGTAATGGCAAAAAATGGGTCGCTAGACCCGGGGTGGGGTTGGGTATGTAACGCGGTGTAGCACACAAAGCGAATCTTCCGGCCCCTCCCTGCTACCTGTTCCAATTTTTATTCCGAAGGGCAAGCTCTCTGCAAGTTGATGTATACCCAGCGAAAGCATGCTCCGCTAAAGTCTGCTCTGAAAGCACGCATGGGAAATCACTTAAAGTCTCGGTATGCATCAAGGTATGCAAGGATCAGCAACGACTGTCCGCCGCGGCTCTGTGCTATATCCCTGACAAAATCACTTCCACTGTAACCACTGTAACCTATGCTTTGAACAGGGGACCCCTGGTTTTAGTCTTTGTTTCATGTTGCTTCCATTCACCAGGGTTTCATTTTGGGGTCACCCTATTTTCGACCCACACCCAATTTCAGAAACTTGCGCTGGATGAGTTGCTCGCTGCTCGCTGCTTCCTTCCGAACGAGTTCAACCCGCCCATTCGCGAGCGAGTCCTCCGGCACCCGCTGCACGGAGCTGTAGTCTTCCCGGGGTAGCATGGTCGCCTCAGCAAAGTCGCCTAAGCCCATTCCGGGGCCCACCCAGCGTTTGACACGGCGGGGGGGGGGCGCGGGGGAGCTATTTGCGCGAAGATCCGACGTCTGGAACTTGGGCTGAACCAACACAATTGAAGCAGATCTTCCCTCAAGCTGAAAGCTGTTTCCATGTTCGGTTGGACCTGCGTCTCCGCTCAGTGTTCGGTTCTCATTAGAGTGGGCTTCCGTGTGATCCGGCCACAAACATCCTATGCGACATTGTGCAAACAAAAAGTCGCCCCTGAGAGCCAAGCATGCACATCTAAGAGGTTCCCTATGTTTCAAGGAGTCTTTTGGCAAGCCTGGGCACAAATAGGTCCAACATCTGTGACTTTGGCCTTCAATTCTGTTTCCACACGGCTTTCAAGCTTTCTCTCTGCCCCAAAGCCCAAATGCAAAGCTTTTCGCTGCCGGAGTGATGCACATCTTGCTGATCATTCCTAGGCTTCGGGCATTCAGTGGAAATGCAATGCCAAACAAATTGAGTATGAAGCTTTCTGAATTTGTCACATTCCGCAAGCGAGTGGCGGATAAGTTTATCTGCGTTGATTGAGCAATAGCACAACCTGCCCAAACTGCCAGATGTTGGACATGTCAGGGTGAGGGAAGCCTGAAAAACAACGCCTGGCTGCTTGATGAGAGGTCTGGCAATAGTGGCAAAGAGAGTTTGTTTGATGTATTTACATTTCCAAGCTAATCCAGCTGAACGCTTCCAGAGCCCGCAGAGCCGGTCCGCGCCTCCCGCAGGCTGTATTCATCGGAGAGGCCTTGGACTGTGATTACGGTGAACGTAAGCTAGGCACACAAGTTCGAATGGCAGAGAACCGAAAGGGCGAGGGCTAAGCTGCACCATCGGAACGACTTCTCTATCCCTTCCTGGAGACTGGCTAAAGTTGATTCTGCCAGCCCAGCCCCCCCGTGTCAACGAAAGAGGGCGCGATGAGAGAATTTCTAGATTCTGTTGTTGAGACACAAAACTCCCAACACCCGCAATATGAAAGAATCCTTCGCCATGGCTTGTTTACCATCTCATTGAACTTGCCAAAGGCAAATTGATCATGCAAACCCGTGTTCAGGCCTGCTCACGCTAGCAATGCGAGGCTGAATGGCTCTTGAGCCCGACAAAGGAAGCTGTAGGCAGTGGGATGCTGTTGAACCCACCAGGTCAGTCCTGGATGTTCATTATGTTTCCATTCTGCCTAGGGACCCTGCAAACGGGGATTCTGTGCGGAATGTACCTGAAACAACCGGGTGTGTTCAACAGAACTAAAAACTTCCCTTTGGCCAGCCTTTCGCAAGTCCTTCGCGGTCCTCAGTTTTCCTTTCGGGCCAAATCAGTCGAGCATATCGTTTTCAAGCAATTGTTTTCTGCGATGCTTCTTGAGAGTGACAATCTGCTGAAGCGTCACTTTCGTGGTAACTGGGATTGCATCGATGCAATAATGGGGAAAACAAAATATGTTGTCAGAGAAGCTTGCCACAAACGTCAGGGAAACAAACAAACACATCAGGTATTCCTTGTCCACATTTGTTATCCTTGTAGTCCTTTTTCGTTCCTTCGCCGACCTTTCACGATGCAGGGTTTCCTTGACACATTCTAGGACATACCCACCGCTCCAATGCGCGCAAAGAAATTCAAAGGAACGTGGGTCAAAGCCTCAACCTACCTTGTGGGGCAAACATCGCCAAGGGCATGACTTGTGTAGCAGCGTGTCAAATCGGCCCTGGATCGGAGAGACACCTGGCAGGCACAACTTGCCACTGCCTTGCAAGCAAATAGCAACAAGAGGTTGATACGATTTTCCGCAGCAAGCACACTGACAAACAATGCAGGCCCTGATACTTGTGGTGAATGTGTGTGTCACGTGGGCAGCTGGGGGAGCCGCTCGGAATGCCTTGAAATCCACGGAAACTTGGGGAATTTGCACGAGGGACCAAACCTGCATCAACATTGTCCGCAGCCCTCAATTCCATCAGCAAGTCCGCTCCACAAATGAACAACTATTAAAGATAGGCTATCAGAATGTGCCAGACCGGTGGAATGGGGTTTGTTGAGGCCAACTCAACTGAAGGGATGGCTTAGGTAGTCTTACACTGCCTTACAGTCCATTTATGACTAACTTGCTGGTTCTCAGTAAGAAATGACCGTTCCGGGTGTTGGGGATGAAGCCAGGACTTGGCCCTCTTGAAGGAAGCCACAAGGGCTTTTTTATAGGGCTCATTCCGCCTATCGAACCGATCGCAAGTTCATCTTGAGAGCCTGCCAAACCTCCTCAAACAGACTCGGCTTGCGCACAGTGCGAGCCTCTGCAAAAATGTTGACACAGCTGCGCTGCATCTCGCTTAGGGCTTCCTTCACAGGCTCCTGCCAGAAGAACCTGAGAAAAACAATGGGTGTGTCTTTTTTTTAGGAGTACCCCACAAAAATCAAAAAATGGGTGGTTTTCCTTTTGGTTTCCTTCAAAACCCTGCCAAAAAAGGGTGCCCTCAAAAAAAGACAAACCCGGGTATTGCCCAATATTCTTGTTCTGGAATCTGGCTGCACCATGCTGCACCACCGCACTTGCGCGACACTTGCACGTCTGGACGCGCGCGCACGGCACCGCGAGAACTAGTTTTCCAGCAGCCTCTTTCATATGCAGTTTTCACGTGGTTTGCGCGAGCCATTCAATAAGCATGGCAAGCTTGTGATCTCGCAAGTTGAGCCGAAACCTTGCATGTCAAGATTTGAGCGGCTAACTAGCCGTGGCCATGTCTGAGGCGCGGCTTCACACGAGGATTCCAATGGCAATGGGGAAAGAAGGCCTTGCAAACTCCAAGTCACTTCGCCTTGCCGGGCCAACTCGGGCGCAAGCCCGCGCTTGTGCATGGCGGGCGCCAAATTCTTCGCGCGAATGGCAGGTGTTTCATCGTTCTTGTGGCATAAAACCTTTAAGTTTAAGCGTCTAAGCTTTGACATTCATTGGCAATGATCGCCACGTCCGAGTCAAAGCACTGACACAGCGTCCGCCGCGAGATTCCAAGCAAACTCAGGTTACAGTTCCGAAAATAAGCCATCAACACCTGACCTTCGAAATACCTTGCGCCGCACTTGTGTGCTTCCTGCGCGCACATAGTCTCCAGCCAGTTTCACCTTCGTCCGTTCCGCGGCACGGCCAACTCCCAAGGAACAGAAATTACATCTGACCGCATATTGGGTCGACATGTCAATGTGTAGATATGGTAAAATCCTAAGGAGATTTGGGCACATCGCTGTCACAACTGCGTGCTCCGACTGACGCTATACAGCAGGCTCTGAATTCACGCAGTACAATAATCCAAAAAACCCATTCAATAATTAATATACCGTTTGAAGTGAATCGGCGAGCCGCACTCACAAGTGGATTTTGTTCGTGAACAGCAAGTGGGAAACATTGAGTGGTGACCGAAAGCCGCTTGAGGGTCAGACTCGCTTTTCACCTCAGCGCATTCGCGGGCCATCGCAAGAGAACACTTGGCTCAACATTTGAGCAGGGGGGTGCTCAAGCTGATGTTCGATCCGGACAATGCTGAGCTTTGCAACACGGCACTTGCCGCCTGGACTTGAAAATCAGTGTCCAGTCTTCACTTCTGATGGCGGAACCTGCATGAACCACCTTTTCAACAATCCGCGAAGGGTATTGGCCACGCAAGAGAGAACTCTGGCTGGGAGCTTATTTTTGAGTGGCTGCAAGTCAGCTGGAGACAGGGGGAATCGGGAAGGGCCACTGAACCGAGATACGGATTGGCCAAGTTGGCCGAGTCATGAGTCAAGTCCTCCGATCAAACTCGGGCACCGGACCTTGATAAGGAGATACAAGCACTCCCGGAGCGTGCTCCTTGGAACTGGGTGTTCCGATCCCAATGGCACCCCGGCAATGAATATCTCGATCCACGGTACCAACTGCAGTATTTGAATCCTCCAAGCTGGAGCTTCATGTTCTACCAAAATGCATTAAGCCAACAAGCCGCCCGGCCGACAAGAGAGCTCGCCGCGGCATTTAATGGACAACCAAGCATGTGCAAAACAAACTGAGAAGTAAGAACCACATCTTTCGTCTTGCAGTCTTACAATGGGCGCAATCTCTCTACAGCTCATCCGTTTTTGTGCTGGCGCTTCCTCTGTGTCAGCTTAGAGCAGTTGATTTATGTACCGCCTCGCATAGGCAAAGAGCAGCGGACAAAGGATGATGAACAATTCGATGATGCATGCGTGATTATCTTCAGCTTCCCGCAAACAAGCACACTGTGGTTGCACGCTCGGGCTTCCTACCGAGCATGGAAAATCACAAGGCTGAAACGCGCGTATCTCAAACTTGAGCGACCCTTCACTTCAGCCGCCAACATCTGGGTGTGGGTCAAAATTAGGCCACCAGGGGACCGCAGGTTTTAGTCTTTGGTTCCATTTACCAGGGTTCCATTTTGGGTAATCTGGGCACGGGCGCTAGCATCAACATGTGGCAAGGACACTTTGCTTCTGGGCCACGCGCTGGGAATCTGCATCCTTCACACTGCGTCGCCAGACTCTTACCTCAGAATGTCAAGATCCTGGAAACCCTGCAACAGCCTCACAATCATATCGGAAACCTTGTTCGGTTGCTTGAATATGACGCATACACGGGTTGCCAGATGTTTGCATGATCCCCTTGGGTGGTTGTTTGTAACGTGTATATATATATATATATATGTAAATCTATATATATATATACACATAATTATTGCTCAGACCTACGCACGATGGGCCTATTGGGGCCCGCCAGGGCTCCGGGCAGCCCTCGTGAACTCATCCAAGGCACCTGGATTACATTGATTTCTCAACACCGCAGGTGGACAACCAATCACTGCAGATTGTTACTTCATACTTGGTTCAGTTCTTGATGGTCTGATTTCGTATTGGTCATTTTGTGAGCTGTATGCGCCAGTGATCTCTTTTCCATGTGCCCTTAATCACCATGCACATCATTGATTTCGGAATGAGACACAGTCCCCGCGACTGCAATCCTGATGCTCACTGACAAGAACCATGCAGTCGCACGCTTCCTCTCAGCCCTTGGGACGCGCACTCACCGTGGGAACGGCCTCCTCTTGCTCGCCTGCGCGAGCAAGGCTTGCCCTCTCAAGGCTAGATGCAAGGCGACGAGCAGAGCTTTTTTGTTGAGTTGTCTATTGCTGGAAAAACATGCGAAAGGAGCAGGGGCGAATACAAGACCAATTTCGGTTGTCTCTGCCAAGAAAAACCACAACAGCCCTGCCACTCTCGATGCCTTCTCCGAGGTTTTTGGCCTCCTGGCGGTGTACACCAAGCATCCCACCGGAGAAAACCACACGGACACCAGTGCGCGTCGTCAAATCTCGTCTGCACTTGGTGCCAAACGAACGGAACAACGGGCACCAACCGTTTGCTTCCTCATTTGACACAATCACCTCTGCCCAACAACGCTGCGCAAAGAAACAAAAGGCGCAGCTTTGTCTTATGCCTCGAAAACAAACTCTGCAGGCGGATTGCCAGTGCATCGACTGGGACTTCCCCAGCCTGAGCCTTGCCCTGAGAGTGCTCTCGGCCTGAGCCATGCACGAAGGTAACCTCAAAACGACTCGGCGCGTCTGTCTCCAGAATGAAACACGGGGCTCGTTGGATTTCTTCAGCCCGTTCTTGGGAGCTGCAAAGAGCTATGCAATGTGTGCAATTGACTTAGGTTGTGGTGGCTCTGATTCCGGCGATCTGATGGCTTGTTCGATTCAGAGCCCACTCACCAACTATACTAAGCTTCGTTTTTAACACCGTGACACCTGGGAGGTCATTGTATGTGCGCCCTTGAGTTATCGGTGTGCCAGTCCGGAAAGTGGCCCGTGGAAGTCTCTGGCTCTGACGCCTTTGACGAGCTTCACAGTCCAGCAACCTGATGCCGCCTTGCCCACAACCCAAGTTGCCGCGCCAGACTCACAAACAAGGACTGGGAACCAGCATCTGTGCCTATATCCACTGCGATATACTTTTGACTGAACATTGACCTGCTACGCGCTGCACGCAAAGAGCATGCCTTGCGGAAAGCAATACGATCACAACGTACAGATCGTAGTGGAAGCTGCGGCCAAGGTAGCAACAAAACAAATGACTCAACACAGGCACAAACGTGCGAGTGCAAGTTTGGATTGCTCTTATGCTTGCAAAGTTTGGCATATGTGGGATGGGGGGTCTTGAAGCCCTGGAGGCTCTGTTCCATTCTTGTACACCCTGAAGCCCCCAACGGAAATGGACTCAAAATACAAACGAACCCACCGACACTCCCAGCAAGCAAACAAATACATGACATGGGGGAGCATCTCTTGCTTTGATTTCTATTCTATGTGTTCAGGAATTCAATCTCTTAAAGCTGGACATGCGTTTTCCTTTAGAGACAAACGTGACTGTATGTATGGGCTCCTCATTTGCGGCAAAGCTGTACGCCAGGCACAGAAAGCCTCCGTTTCAAGCCCAATATCGGTGCGAAATGTCTCTCGTTACGAACTCAACACATTCGAAGTCCCGCGTGTGCCATGTGGATGTTTGGCCAATGGCCTCTCGACTGGCCATGGCTTGGGCCCCTGGCACGCAGCGAGAATGGCCATGCCCATAAGTTTGGCTCCTGACGCCGAGCTGGACGCCGAGCTGGACACTGTGACGGGGAGCCAAAGAAGGGTCCTTGAAAGGTGGCGGGGTATTTGGGATCGTTGGGAGATACACCACTGCTTCCTTGAGCTCCTACCTCTGCTTTGAAAGCTTTGTGATGCAGATTTGGACTCAGGCATGAATCCGCAACATTCCCTGCGTCCGGAGCCACAGAAACAACAAACTCGTTTTGAGAGCTTACAGCCCCAAACACAACATGAAATGAAGATCTCAAACACCTGTGCTCTGGTGAACTCGCTGCAGCAGAAAAAGCTTGTCGCTAGTATGCTGCTAGACATATGGCATGGACCTGGAACCAATCTGCCTGATTATGCCATCACCGTGCTCAATGTCTTCATCCAATCCAATGTATACATTTGCATTTGCTTTTGTGTCTGTTTGTCTGGCTGTGTGGCTGTCTCTGTCCGTCTCTGCTTGTCTGTCTGTCTCCGTTTGTCTCTGTGTCTGTCTCTGTCTCTGTCTGTCTGTCTGTCTGTCCGTCCGTCTCTGTCTGTCTGTCTGTCTGTCTGTCTGTCTGTCTGTCTGTCTGTCTGTCTGTCTGTCTGTTTGTGTCTGTCTGTACGTCTGTCTTGCCTGCTTGCCTGCCTGCCTGCCTGCCTGCCTGCCTGCCTGCCTGTCTGTCTGTCTCCGTTTGTCAATCCGTCCGGTGTGTATGTACGTATGAATGTACGAGAGGTTTGTTCGCCTTGAGCTGGCCTGGGCAAAATGCAGATCCACTTGCCAGGAAACAAGGAGGTTTCTCCAGGCTCAAACTATAGAACTTCACCAAGACCCCTGCTTCCGGCCATCGGTTGATTGCCCTACATCAGGAGTGCGTAAAGACATAAGACTAGCTCTTTCAAGCTACAAGCCTGCTTGGTTTCTGATTTAGTACAAAGCAAGCAAAACATAATCCGACTAGATCACCATCCTACTTGGATCAATGCGACGTGCCCTCGCAAGCGGCGTTCCGTCACACATTCTTAGGTATGATTCCCGCTCCATGGCTTCTTGAAACTGTGGATTGATGACACAATAGAGCTTTGGCAAGACACGCTGATCTCTCCATGGGATGGTGGAAGGTGGTGCATCCCCGCCTGTGTTGTCTGCGTGCTTCTTTTGCGAAACCTGCACACATCTCTCTGGGAGACGTTTCAAATTCAGGTTCCAGAATCCAACTCATCCAACTCGGATCTGAACACGCTGCCAGCCAACCGTGCGGTATCTGTGTCTCACTCAGCAACTTTTGCCAATTCATGACACAAAGCACAGGAATTTCGTGCGTAGCTTTGTACACATCTCTCCAGTGGACGTAGCTGACAATGGCAGTAGACTTCAAGGAGCGATCTTCGTCTGGGAGATGGTTCGAGAGACGCGCTTAGGTAGTTGTCGTCCATAGAACATGCCGTGCCCTAAATTTGGGTTTGCCTAGATGTCACATGCAGCTGCCCAGCCTCGCTCTTATTCTTTCCAGGAGGTTGTTGCAGCAGCTCAGCCTTTCTACAGAACGGGCTTTGGAGGGCCATCTGGCAACAGTTCAATCCAATTTTGTGAGCTTAAGCTTGACCAAACATGCTCAATCCTCAGTTGAAAAGGGCGATCTTTATCCAGGCATTATGACTTGTCTAGAGAGACTCGTGCCACACAAGCCATCGCTTGACCTTCGGTCAGCAAACCTTAGGGTGCCAACCACAGACTGCAGAAGTTGATGCACCTCGTACCTTGGTGACAGCATCCGACCGGAACGACTCCTTCGCAACAATGAGACTGTGTGATGTCGGCCTCAAACGAACCCAGCGCACTTCTCAGAGGGCTCCCCTTGAGATGGACCGTCTTCCCAACACACGTATCATCACTGATGAACATGCAGGAAGGCCGCTAGCCTAACGCGGATATTGCTTTCCTGCGAAACCTGGAGACTCCTATCAAACTTGTGATCTGAGTGAGGTGCTCTGACAAGTCGCCCTTCTCGTAGCCTGAAACTCTGCGGTCGGCGGTGAGAGGAAAACCATGGTGAAGACATTGAACATCAACAACTTGCACCACAACCTGCCCGTCAAAGTTGAGGGCGTCGGGCAAAAGCTGCTCTATCCGCGATGAAGCTGCAAGCGTGAATTGCTTTGGGTGGCCTTGTCTGCCGTCTCAGGTGTTTTGCTTTCCGGAGCCAGCAGCTATCAACATTCAAGCCCCGGTAGAAGCTACTGAAAGTATTTCTAGGTTCTTCTGCTTCCTGAAAGGGTGTTCGTCAGCTTTGTCATTCGGACTCGCCCCGCGCACGGGGTCAACACATTCGTCTCGCAACGTCCTGAACGCATTTATCAGCACGATCTCGGCGATCGTGCACGAATCAAGAACTGCCCCAGCCGGGTCACAAGACAATTGACCCCTAAAAGCCTGAAAGCTAAGCCGCTGACTTAAGTACCCTTTGCTCACATCGCGGTCCTTGACCCCGGATGCCTTGCCAAATGTTGTCTGCCGAAGGCCGAACACATCACTAGTGGCAATATCAATCTCCAGTTCTCATGCAAATGAAATTAAGCTGACACAATTCCCCAGATCAAATTTCAGCTTCAAAGCGAGGGCACGCATGAGTGGCAAGACAGCTGATGGAAGAAGACTCTTTGCCGGGATCACTTGCACCACGGTCAACTATTTTACTTCTACATTAAAAGGTGGACCTCCCTACTTCCACAATATCTGTGTTGTTGTATGCTCCCAGTTGCATGCGCAAGTGCCGCGGCTTCACGTTGAAAACATGACCAGCCCACATGCAGGATCTTTTCCTCCACTTGGTTCAGCTTGCGAAGCCACGCCTCATCGCGTCCCAAAGGACCCAAAGGTCTTGGGCCGGAGAGGAACGGTAACAACGGTAACCACCCCGACTTAAACAAGCTCTGTGGTCGCTGGATGTGCAAACAAGCTGATGACACTGATACTGGCAGGAGGTCCGCCCTTCTTATGCTAATGCATGTTTGAAAGTTGAGGTTGCCACCTGCCGCTGTACCCCCTGCTGACATTCACCCCGGCACCAGCATGCCAGCATATCTTCAAGACTTGATTCTGTTTTGTAACATGACTTTGCGTTGTTTGAGGGAAACAAACAAGAAAGCATTTATGGATTCTCCAATCCCCCAAGAAACGGAAACACCCACTGGAAACACCCTCTCCACCAAAATGGGCACTTTAACACCTTTGACTTTCACGGCGGCCTCTTTCCATCCCAACTGGGGCGGTCACCTCTGCAGATTCCCTAAAGCTCCTGAAGTCGTCGTAGCTCTGGACGAAGGCCTTGAAAACCATGCTTTCCGGACCTCCGGGCCCTGAAAAGGGCCATGAAAGCGAACAAAAAGTGAACTGCCCATTGGACAGGGCCAGCATTCATGAAGAACTATCCTTCATTTGCATGAGAGAGCAACATGAAACCAAGCAGGGGAACTCCGATGCTGGTTGCAATCCTCGTGATTCCAACATGCTCAACCACGCATATCCGTAGCGCTTGTTGCAGGCATTTGCAACGTAGGCGTTTTGATGAAGCAAAATAAACTGCCGCTGAAGGGCTGTTCTGAGTGCATCTTGGCACATGGCAGCTTTCCAACTTCAACAAGGATCCTCCTCTTGGCACTTCAACTAAGGCATTCGCTGCAAACTTCTCCAGCCGCGATTCCTTGTCCTCCTGGTGCCACAAACAGCCGGTAGGAGAAAATCATGTCCAATGTTGGCTGACTGTGGTGTGTGTGTATAACAAACTGGCAGCCGTCACAATCCTGCCATATCCTGCCTTTTTCCCCACTTTCATCCGCCATAAGCTGGTGACTAACCCCTTCCCCCCCGTCCTCCATGTGAGACACAGCCGGGAACATGCCTGCAAACCTCAGATGGTGTCGCAGCGCGGTATGTGCACCTCTGCTCCGATATGGCAAGGTCCTGTTTCTTCTTCTTTTTTTTTTTGCGGGATGCTATTCACATGGTTCTTTTATAACCCTCTCTGATTCACACAATATTCCTTCAGGTCGATGAGGCATGGTTTGCTAGCTCCATTTCGCGGTGTAAGAAATCCGCAACTAGGCTTGCGGAGTTTTGAGCATTCCCAGCAATATCATCGGCACCAAACTTCGGCGAACAAATCAAAGGGTCCAAGCCTAAAGAAAAAAAACACCCATGTCTGCAAAATCGATCTTTTCCTCTGCCAAAATGACCTGCGCCATCAGCAGGGAGTCTGAGACAAGTCATATAGACTGTCGTTGCGCCAAGCACCGTCAAGCACTCCACTTGCGCTTACAGAGCCAATCGCTGGCAAGATCAGAAGTACTCAGGCAGGAACATGTCGCGGTTCTTGTTGTTTCATGATTGCATATACGAGCTATATTTGCTACATGGTTGGAGGGTTAAGTGTTCAAACCTCGTTATTCAACCCTGCACTCATTGACCAGGCTTTCCAACGCCGCATGTGTTTGTGATCTCAACCATGTCATGGCAGTAGTTTGTTGTGGATTTTGCACCTAATTAATAATGTTAACATCTTTCCGCCCTGCCTTTACTGTAGTCTTCTATAAACAAAGGCAGCCGCTCATGTGCAACATGTGCCATTGTGCCAGCTCGCTTGTTTCCAAAACAAAACACATACGATCTATCAAGTGCTGTATGAGAAACATGTCAGCCGATCTCTCAACATCCATGGTCCACAATCGCGATCATCTGTGCACGGTGTATCCATTATATTCAACAACTTGCGGGCGGATGATTGTCTCAACTCACAAAGTATTTTGCTAACCTGGTCACACAAATTATAAACAAAACAGAGTTCAGCACCAACAGCATGCTGTTCACTGGCGTAGTTGGCAATCTCCAGACTTCAATTCGTGACCTCGCGGTAAAACAAACAAAAACAAAAAACAGCTCAACTTGCGACTCAGACTATATGCAGTGGCTTCCTGATGAGAAGAAACAGAACATGTTCCCAGGTGTGTCTTGCAAGGTGAGCAGATGACTTATCCTGTGAAAACAAAGGCTATGCAGCTTTCCTTCGCCCACCCTTCGGGCAGACATGCCTGAGTATCGGCAACACTTTAGAAGCTGTGATCAAGTCCCAACTGGACAACGTCTGCACGTGGAAAATCGGAGTCAAATGGTGAAGAAAGGCAATCCACTACAGCCAAGCCAACATGCTGAAATCAACGTCTTCTTGCGAGTCGTGTTGACAGCAGCTTGAACCCCTCTCTTCACGGGCTCTCACGCGCCGTCCACACATTGCAGCTTGAGCGACTGGCTTTGGGGGCCGCGTTGGAAGAGGTTTCGCAATTGCCCTTAAGTGGGTAGGTATGGGTCAAAATGAAACCACCAGGGGACCGCAGGTTTTACTCTTTGTTGCCATTTACCAGGGTTCCATTCTGGGTACCCATTTTTGACCCACACCCAAGTAGTTCATCACCTGTGCATGACGTAGTCAGCCCTCGCAGGCCGCAATGGCAGCGACACGCATCTCCAAGGCGGTGCCACTCGAGTGGCGGCTTGGACTCGTGCCGTCGACCTGTGGCACGAATTCTGAGGCTTTCTCATGTCCGCTCAGCTGCAAGTAGTGCTTGTCATACACCGAGTTGCTGTTAATCCTTCAGTTCTTTCCATGCTAAAATATATATCCACCTGGCACCCAGGGTGCGGCACAGGGGAAAGGTCATACGTGCATCTCAACCTTCGCAAGTTGGAAGGTGCATGGAAGCACTCTTGAAAAAGCCGAGCGGACCATTCCGGACATGCTCAAGCAAAGCTGAACATGCAGCTACACGCTACGAGCAAACAGCGAGATTTGCGGGTCACATGCCAAATTCGCCGAAGAAATCGTCGGGGTCAGACAAAGCCTTCTTCGCTGCCTTTGCGGGGCAAAGGCGAAAGCTCCGATTTGAGGACTTGCGTTGTGTTGTCCATCGTTGATTGACATCAATCACGTTTCGTGTTGCAACTGCTGGCTATCAACCTGAGGATATTCCTGATTTTGTGAGGGGTTATCAAGAGACCAGCCATGGATGACCAACGATGTGGGAGAAGGAATTATCACCTGGCTAAGTTGAGGGTGTCGGTTCCACTTGTTTCTGGCAACCAACTGTTCAGTGGAAGTGGAGTGCACAAAGTGCAATAGAACTTCTTTCGCATCTCCAAATCCAAACACTGTTTATTGCACGTGTAGCACGCAAAATACGCTTCCGCAGCTCCAGCTGGAAAACCGCAACTGTTCAGCATCAAAGTGCAAAGCTAGATACGCCTCCATGGCTGCGGTTGGAAAAGGAATAAACAGTAGCACAAGTAGTTGCAGTAGTTGTAGTACGTCGCACGCGTATAAATGCTTGCATATACTCAGGGGCATGACTTTCCGGAAAGGTCCCGTAGCCTGCCTTTCTCAAGCGTTGGAAGGCTGTGCCGTTCAAATGATGAGCGCGAGTTTGATTCCGAAGTGGGCGTGTCTTGTTCTAGGGGACCTTTCAAACCAACCAAAAAGCCTCCCCCCACCCCCCAAAAAAAAACACCCCAAAATGGTGGTAATTCTGGTGGTCTTCCTTTTGGCTTCCCTTTAAATCCAGCCAAAAAGGGGTTCCCCAAGAACCGACACAAGAGTTCGGGCAGCTTCCAATCCAACCCAGGCACTGCCTTGGCCTTGCTGGGAGAGGCCTCAGGACTCGCGGAGGGGTTGGACGCGGAGCCGCCCAGGGAGGCTGCCGAGGTGGTCTGGCGTGCGCCAGGTCTGGGTCAAATTCGCTCACGTTTGGCACACCTCCTGCGACTGTCCGACAAAAGGTATGGACTTTCTTTTTGGCACTTTGATGGTCTTTCAAAAAAGTATAAAGTCCATGAACTTCGGGAGTGAGCTGACACACACACACTTGTAACTTGTAATTGCCATGCCACCAATCAACTTCACTTCAAAACCACACAGAACCCTTTCGCAAGGTTGCTGTTGTGCAAACTATACTGGGCAGTCATCTGCGTCGACAGTAGCCAGCTTGCTTTTACTCTTCCCTACGACCGAGCCAAAATCACACACACACACACATTCAATCATGTAAATTCCCTTTCGAAAACAGCACCTCAGGCCGGTCACAGTAGAATCCAGATGTCCTTTTGACACGACTCCCAACAAATGCCATTTTTCTGTCTGACGCGGTCCCTCTGCATCAGGCAAAACCCCTCCCTCGCAAACCAAAACCACGCGCGAGGGATCCACCGCGCCTTCTGTGGGCTGTCGCTCTTGGGTGCGGGCGGGGCCTCCACATTCAACCTCGGGAGCAATTGAGTTGGATGGCGCCTTCAGTGAAGCCGAGGAGTGCGGTGGGGAGGTCAAAACATATGCGCACGCATGCGCACGCAAAGCTTACAAGGTTGCCGGTGAAGGCCTGGCCAGGATGGTCCCGTCTAGCAAACATGCTCAAAGCAAAGTGCCTGTCATCCGGTACTGAAAACGTGATCTGCTTACCGCGGACGCTAAACAAAACGAACCCGCGCAACATGAGGATGGAGGCATGGCTAGTGTTCTTCACGGCGTCACTCAAGTTGCCAAGTACAGTGACCCCCAAATCACGTGCCTGGCAAAGGCGGAGCGGGGAAAATGAAAGGATCGAGTGGGGAAAACACTGGAAACCCGCATCTCATGTTGTTGCCAACATGGCGCAATGATGTACTTGGTCATTTTGATCAAGTATATCTTTAAGCTCACTCTCACTCTCTCTCTCTCTCTCTCTGTCTCTCATGGTGGCTCATGACATTTCGTGTCAACCCTATCCTGATAGGCTTTCTGGGAAGCCTGGCCGCCCTGGCCAGCTCTGGCCACTCCGAGCGCAAGGCTTCATTCCCATCTCCCTGGCCATGCGATCCATGTCCGCCTTGGTGACCTCCTTTGGTGGCGGCGCATCCTGCGCGGTCACACTGGCTGCTCCGATACATGAAACTCACAAAAAGAACGGGGTGCCCTCACAAATGCTGACAGCAGGAAGATATTCCAACCGGTGCTCAATTTGCAAATCGCCAGCAACCTGGCCATATATGGCTCAGAAGCTTAGCTGGCTAGCTTGGACGCAACTCTGCTGCATGTTTCTCTCTGGTCTTCCTGCTTGAGCAAGGAAACAAGTGACTCTTGTCGCCTTGCCTGTCTCAACGACCACTTCCGCCATACTTACACGTGTCAAGTCCAGCAAGAAAGTAAGTCCCACTTCGGATGGTCCTCGTGGCCCCAGTCATCATCGAAGCTCATGCCTCCTTTGGAAAATGAGTTGCCGCTCCTGTCGAGGAATCTGAGATCACACGACTGACCTGGGACCTTGAAGATCGTCCTTCCAGGGCACTGGGAATCCGCCGAGTTCAGCTGAACGCCTTTTTGTTGCAAAAAGCTGGTAACACTTCGGCTTTTTGGTGCAAAGAGGTGGCAAAGCCACAGGTATGAAGTAGACTATGACCTATCACTCCAACACCTCGCCTACCCCTCGAAACAAACCTCTCGCGATCTCCTGTCTGAGGCCGTGGGCTTCTCAAAGCACTTGGTGCAAATGTCGTAGTTGCAGCCTGCACGAAAGGGGCTTGCCATGAACCAAGTCTTCAAATCGCCTCTTAACACACGCCATAAACCAATTAAGCTGATCCCTCAACCGCAAACATCCAAAGATTGGATGTCTCTGGCTACCAATGCGGCCTTGCTATAGGTGGCTGCTTCTTTCGTTGGGCGAAGCCCAAACAAGTCATGCAAACAAACAATAGCTGTTAGTTCGCCTGTCGCCCATCTTTTGGCATCATCCCAACTAACATTTAATTTTGTTCATCAATTTGACTAAACGTATCTCGGGGACACAACCAAATGCACTTCTGGCAAATGATTTCAGTTTGGCGTCCAT